ATCCTTCATTGAAGTTATTTTTCACTCACATTTACCAAGCACCCACAACATTTTGCTGATATTTACCAAGTGTCAAAGGAAAGCAGAAAAGGAAGGAAAACAGCTGATTTTGCTGACTGTATCATACTCCCAAAATACAAAAGCTTCCTGTAAGAACACAGCAGTCTCTCCGCTAATTGGTCTCTACTTATCATAATCAAGAAGTAAACCCAAGAAACAGGAAAAAGATCACTAAAAGGAAATGATAATGAGATTGAGACTAGCATTTTGGAAGTCTGCTGTGGGGTGATTCTGCCTGAGTTGGAGTTAATTCAAATTCAGACATGGCTCTATCTACATTAAATTAATCCTCCCTGTGAAGCACTGCTTAACAGCAACTGGGAAGCGCCTCCATTTGCTAGAATAGGAGAAGTTGTGTGGGGTTTGAGTTAAATTAGGATTTTCAGAGCAAGAGGCAAATTCTGCAGATCTCCACTGTGCCAATAATCTCGATGTAACTGTGCTATAATAGCATCTTTCTGCTGGCATTTCTGGCTGAGGCTGCTCCTCTGCCCAGTATTTTCTCTTTTCTTACTGAAGAGTGTCCTAAGACTCTGTGTCTCCTTGGAGTAAATTATCTCCTTGGAGTAAAGATACCAGAGGGTTCAGATTAGGAACAGATATCCGACTAAAACAAACATTTTATTGTTCATTAATGTTTCACAGCTGAGTAGTGTAGACGAGTAAAAGAGAAAGACTATAAATTAAAGAGTTAAATTGTCACTATTACTAGCAGAGAATAAAATATAGTTGCTAATTACACTTGGTATGGTGGTAATGAGAAGAGCCAGTTAATGCTCAGTTTTGCTACTCTTTGGGAAGGGAGACAGCCAGAAGCTCTTTGGGGGAAATACGCTGCCAATGCTGTGCAAACAAATCTCAAACAAATAATGAAGCTCTGTCAGTATCTACCGGGGGTTTTTTAGAAGCAAAACAAATATTCAACAATTTAATGGTCTCCTTATGGAAAAGATTGACTCCAATAGTTCAGCTTGGAAATTCTTCTGACCAGGAGGTAACCTAAAATCATATTCTCAATATTCAGTTGTCAGTATCTGCTCCTCAGGAAGCCCTAGGAGACTGCAAGAGCCTGGGGATCTACTAAACCACCCTGCTCACACAGGGTCAGACTGGTTGCCAGCCTATAGTTATTAATCACCCCTGTTTTAGCAGCCTCAGGCTGACAGCAGGCAAAAAGCAAGGAGGAGACGGCTGTGCCCTCCAGTTTTGGGTGGGGGGAAGTGTCAGGGCTAATCTGAGCCACTTGGACTCCAGCAACTCTGTTTCTCTGTTAAGCAGAGATACCTAATAATTCCTGTGTGATGACTTCGCTCACCAAATTAAAAAGAACACAACAGCTTCATCAACTCATTAGTCTAAAGAGTAAATATGCAAATTTGAAGTCTGTGTCACCAAGCTGAACTGGAATAACCATCTCATTTGTGTAATTAAAACACAAGATGGAAAACATTTGAATAGGTTAATATTTCACTTGAAATTAAGGCTTGAATGATAAAGCAGCAATGGAAGCTTGCATTTCTGTTAGGAGTTAGAAATCTTGTGAAAACAAAATCATAAATAAGACACAAAGAAAGTGAGAATGAATTTAAATTACCTCTCACACAGGTGCACTGTTTTAAATGTATAAATACAACACAGCTTGACTCTCAGTTATTCATGTTGATAGGAGGGTGGCATAATCTGAATAAAGCAAAACCCACAACCAATACAAGACATGCAATAGGAGAACACACTCACATTTGGAAAGCACAGCAGCCTCTAGATTCCCTATGGAGCAGCACTAATAGCAACAAGAAAATGGGAACTGAGCTGAACTGAGCTAAACTGCCCTCACACTGCAACTCTCATTTCTGCAGGAGAACAGTGCATTGGAAAGTAGCACCAGTCACAACCCAAAACCAAGACTAATTAAGAGTTACTGTGTGTGTATATATGCATATTAAAAATATATATTTTTTAATGTTGTCATCTCCTTTTAGATATTGAAGCTGTCTTAAGATAATCACTTTTTTATGCACCCTGGGTTGCTGTTACAGTCAGTGCCAGGTGAAGTGTGATGCCTTCACCCCCCATACAAGTATTGCAGCCTCTACTTGACATAGAACTTTTCTTAAGTTTATTCCATCATATGGGAAGTCTGCAAAGTTTTATGTCCCTGCATATGCAATGCAAACTCACATTGTTTTCTTCTGATTTCAACTAATTACTTTAGAAAGAATTACCTCAGGGTCAAATCCTGAACACACTGAAGCCAGTAAAACCCCTAATCTGCTAGAGTAGGTTCAAATATTGAAAATATCAGAGTCAATGAAAATTGTCATTCACCTCCCTCTAGATTTTTTTTTTCAGTTGAAAGGCAATCTAAGATTAAATACATTTTATAATTAGCCAATTATACCTTAGAATTTCTTCTAGAAATTTTAGTAAAGGCAGCAAAAATCTCTGGTGGTATCCTAGAACTTGCAAGAAAAAGCTTTCATGGAGAAGTAAAATCCACGCAGGCAGAAGATGGATATTTGTTAATTAGGGTAATGGTCTTGCTTCTTTAACTTACAGATATGAAATGTATGGCTTTGGTAGGCATGAAATTTGTTAAGTACAAAATCTCATCAGGGGGATATCTGGCTGAGCCAATTTAATTAGCACAGGTATGCTTGCGTTCACTTTCTGGACGCTGTTGTTGGTGTCCTGGCACAGCCCCCATGCCTCATGAGCAGTCTTGTTCACGAGTGGAATGATGTACCTGATTGAAACACCTGAAGTGGATTGAAACACCTGAAAAAAAACAAAGGAGAAATGTTATTTCCTGTGCACTGAGAGCACTCCAAGGAGAAAGCAGGGATGCTGGCTCTGGTGGAAGGAGAAATCTCTCTTGGTTCCTCAATTCTCCCTGTAAGGCATGTGCCTGACCCTGAAGCAGCAGCTTCCCCTGAAATACAGCAGCAGCTTCCTAGCAGTGTGGGACTGCCAGTGCCCTGCACAAACCACAGGTTCCCACAGCCACGGGAGGCCTGGCTGCTCCCAGCTCCACATCCCTGCCCCAAGGAAAGGGAATGGATGCTCCAGCACAGCTCTGCCCGTGCCCCTCCCACCGCAGATTCCCACCGCAGCAGCTCAGGTTCCGGAGGGAGAACAGCTTTCCCAGGACTCTGCAGCCAGAACAGCCCGGCGCGGGACAAGGGAAACACAGCACAGCTGAGGCTGGAGCTGGGGCTCCTCCTGCTGAACTCTGCACAGCTTCCACCAGGACAGGGACGTCTGGGAAGGCCAAGAACCCGGCCAGGCACGGGGCGGTGACGGGCACCATGCGGCAGTCCTGGTGCAGCACCTGGGGCAGGCACAGACAGCCCCTGCATGGTCCAGAGCTACTCTGCTTCGAGCCCTCTGCTCATCCCTGTTATTCCCACGGACAGGTCAAAGGAAATGGCCTAAGGCAGCACAAAACAGATTCCTGCTTTGCCCTGCAGATCACAGCATGAGATTCAGTTCATTAAAATCCCAGCAGACAGCATCAAAGTTTATTTCTCTGCTTGTTAGAGTTTTTACAGTGAAAGATAATTTTTTATAGCACTTTGAAAGCTGGGAAAGAGACCAAAAGTTTTATTAGTTCAAGTAAAATGACTGTGAGAAGTCAGACCCGTGGCAGGTTTGGAAAAGCTTTCCTGTGTCACAGCCCATATTATCAGCTGGCTCCCAGCAAGAGCTCACCCACAGGATGCTGCACTGGGGCACTGCAAACACCTCCCTCTGCCCACGGGCACCGGCTCCCCGAACGGGCACGGCCGCTCCTCTGGACCCTGGGCGAGTTCCCAGCCATCCCACAAAACTCCTGCAGATGGGAGCTTTTTGCATCACGCCTTCCTAAACTTCTGTCTAAATCCTCACAGGTAATTTTTTTGTGTTTTTTTTGTTTGTTTGTTTTTTGGGGTTTTTTTGGGAACACTCAGTTGGAAGGTTTGCTCAGCACACACAGAAACACGGATTGGCACGGAATGGTTTGGTCGGGAGTGATCTTCCACACCCCTGCCACAGGCAGGGGCACCATCCACTGTCCCAGGCTGTCCCAGGCCGCGTCTAGCCTGCTCCGGGACACTTCCAGGGATCATGGGGCAGCCGCAGCTCCTCTGGGCATGCTGTGCCTCTCAGTGACGCATTCCTCGCCAGTAGCCCACCTGCCGCTGCCCACAGCCGGGCGGTACCTCGAGAGCCGGGTAGCTGAGCACAGCCAGAGAGGCACGGCTCTCGGCCCCGTGGTGTAGGATAAATCCACACCTCCCACTCTCTGCAGCCCGGAGAACAGCGGCTCCTTCTGCCACTCCTCGGTGTCCTGCTCCCCACGCTGGCCGGGCCTGGTCCCTGCGGGACCGCCGCGCTCGGAGCGGGCCGCTCCGGGGAGCCGCCTGCCCGAGCGCCCGTCCCGAACCGCGCCCTGTTCGCTCTCCGGGGAGCTCCCAGCCCCCAGCCGGGGGAGGGAGCACCGGCGGTTCTCGCCGAGGGTGCCCGTGCCTTCTGGGGACGCGGTGCCGGGCACCCCCGAGCGCAGCCGGGCCCCGCCCGAGCCCCGGTACCGCTCCCAGCGGCGCCGCCGGGCCCGCCCGTCCCGGGAGCAGCCGCAGGAGCTGAATGAGTTTATTGGGGAAGGAAGGGGGAGAACCGGGCTAGGACAAGGCGGGCCGGGCTGAAGGCAGCGAAGGAACCGCTGCCCTCGAGCTCTCTGTGCGGGTCCCGCCGCAGCGGGAGCGCTGGGCAGGAGCCGGTTCTAGAGCCAGCGCAGAAAGGCAGGCTGGAAAACATCAACCCTACCCCAGCACGAGGGCACCATGATTTGTAAAAAAAGTCCTTCATGCTCCTCCAGTGGCTCTGGAGCTGTGCTATTTCACCCTCCTCCTCTATCGCCGGCCCGGGTCTATGTACAGATCAGGAACTAGGACTGCTAGGAATGTGCCTTGAGCCGTTTTATTGTCCAGCATCAGTCTCATTACATGGTTATGACAATGGGAAGATGCCATCAGCTCACATCCCAGGCAGCAGACCAAGAACTTAAGGTTACAACTTTTTAAGTTTTTTGACCAATCACACAAAGCAAAAGCATGTTGACAGTAGTTCCATCCAATCACTATAAGCACACGTCCCTTCGGTTAAAACAATGCTTGCTTATTTTGAATACAATACCTGTTTGTAAGCCTTAAAACATAATGCACAGAGCTCCATTATTAAGCTTAGAACTTCCTAACAGTTTGCTAGATATACTTTTCTGCAGCTTAGGGAGTTCTTCTGGACAAGCGTTAATACACAGACCATTGTTCCATTTGTCCTTACTTTTCATGTAATTTTTCTGCTGACTTATTTTATGGCTACTGCTTAGCTCTAATCACAGGTCTCCTGTCTCCAAGGCCTGCCTTTTGCAGCTTTCCCAAAACCCTCTGATTTTATAAATTCACACACTCCTCCTCCATGGCTACTCTCCTCTTCACATCAGGTGTAAAAACAACAGCCCCAAACCCAAAGAACAACCAACAAGCCCCAAACAAATGCCCCAAGTTCCAGAAGCCCTGACAGGGGTGTTGTGGCATTCTCTGGCAGGGTTCTGTCCTAACTGTCCCTATGCTCCCTCTTGAAGACAGCAGCTGCTTTCCAGGTACCAGCAGCATGAGACAGAAGAATCTCATCTGGGAATGTGTCTTCCAGCTCCACAGCTAATTCAGAGTCTTTGGCATCAAGGTAAGGCACAAGTGATTCCTTCAGGCTGGAAGACAGAGCAGAGTGGCATTAACAGCAGGGGTACAGCAAACCTCAAGTGCCACAATATGAGTGCACTGCAGCACCCAAAATACTCAATACACAACTGAACAGGGGGTTGTGTGTGTAGTGAGAAGGGTTAAACAGCCAGGTGGAGGCACAGAGGCCAGCAAGGGGAGGCTGCAGGGCACACCTGAGCTCTAGGGCTGAGCAGTACCTGTGCAGAGCTGTGTGCCTATCCCTGAAGGCTGGCCTTGAGCACCATGGAGATTTTTTTCCAGCCTTAATGAGTTTGTGATTCTGTTATTTTATCCAAGTGCCTGCAGAAATGCTGGTGTTTGTGCCCTGGACAGCAGCTCCTGGAGTGTTCCAGCAGTGTCTCCAAGACAGACTATGTGAGATAGAAGTGACACCTGCCAGAAATGGGTATGGATATTCCTAATGCTGCTGCCTGGGCCATGTCCCCCAGAACATGTGTGTGCCAAGGGAGTGTTCCCACTCTGTGCATGCTCAGAGGCAGAGAAGCTTCAGTTAACAACTGTGGTGGCTTTGGGTGTGTAATTCCTACCTCCACGTGGGTTTGAATTCCTCCACAGCTTGGACACTTCTCAGCTTCAGAACGATCATTTCATGGAGCTCCTGCAGGAAGGTTTCCAGCCTGGAGTGGACCAGGAAGATGTGCAGGAGCTTGACAAGCTCTGGGGTAAGCTCTTCTTTGTAGTCAGAACTGACATCTGCAAAAGGATCCTAAAAATGCAGCGAGGGGAGAAAAAACCCAAAGACACATTTGAACAGATGCAGGCAGAGCAGAGCAGAGCAAAGGAGGTCACACAGAGGTGCTGGGGATGCCATACCCTGCCGAGGCGTAGCAGCTGCTCAGATTTGTGGGAACACAGGAGCTGCCACAGGGCTATGCTGTGCCTGAGCTGGCACCGTCTGAGGGCCTGGAAGAGAAGGACATCTGTGGATGGGAGGGATGTCCTTGGAGCCTGTCCCCAGCCTGCCCTGCCCAGGAGTGCTCAACACAGAACTCATCCAGCCCCTTGGCCTGGGTGGACCCCATCTGCCCTCTCACCCTTCCCCATCTGCCCTGAGTAAGCCAGTTTTTGATACCACAATAGGCGGTGGGAAAGTGAGAGGGCTCTGTCCCACAGGCTGGATTTAGCATAAACCAGGGCAGATTTTACCCCACAAGAATCTGAGCTTTGCCCTCAGGACTCACCTGCAGCACCTGAGGGTTTGTCTGATCCCCCCCCATCTTCAGAACTTGCTCAAGGTACTCAGTCAGCAGCATGTCAGCATTCTCACCAGTAATGGCCAGGAAGCGCAGGGTAGTATCAGTGAGGGACAGTGCATCACACACATCACTGTAGGACTGCAGCTCCCCAGTGATTATATTCATCACAGAACTGGGCAGAGCACTCTGAAAACCACAAAGTCACAGTTAATATTGTTTTAGAGCCATTCCTTTTTCTGTTCCAATTGCTCAAGTCAAGGAAGATAATAGAGGCTCAGATTTAGGAAACTGAAATGCTGAACTATCTCCCTTTCTCTTTGTAAATCCTGACTGACAGCACAAGGTCAGCTTGCACATACCCAAGGCATGCTGAGAAATCAGCAGACAAACCTTTGGATGGACAAGGCAAGGCACAGAAAACCCTTGGAAAAGCAGGGATTTCATGCTTGCCCTGCTTCCTGCAGTGCAGAAACCCACCTGCTCCAGATTGTTCTTGACATCACTGAACAGCTGCTCATAGTTCCTGTCATGTCTGTACACCAGGGTGGGGATTCCCTGTCAGGAGAGAAACCCATGGATGTGAAGCCTGGAATGCTGCTCCCAGTGCCCTCCTGGCTGCACAGCCCTGCCCCTCCTACCGTTAGCATGATGAGTGGCTTCCCCTGCAGGAACTTGCTGATCACTTGCTGCTGGATCCTCTCCAGATCAAAGTCCTGCAAGGTCTCCCCTCCCTTCTCCATGCTGTACTGGCAATTGGACAGGATCAGAGGGATCAGGTCCCTCTCCACCTCGTAACTGATCAGGTGCAGGTCGGCCACTTCTGAGGGGCTGACCAGGTACCTGTAGGGAGTAAAGGGCCTGTGTTCAGAGGGAGAGGCCTCTGTGGAGCAGGGAAAGCTGCCTGAGAGGGAGCAGGGGATGCAGCAGAGCCCAGGCAGCGGAGCAGCAGCACACCTGTCATCCTCCTTGGTGTCTCTGGTGACAGAGTATATGAAGTCGTTGTGCAGCCCGATGAGATAACTGGCCAGCGCCGTGGAGCACAGCCCCAGCCCCTGCCGCCGTGGCAGCAGCACCTCCAGCTTGTTGTCCAGGCTCAGCTCAGCATCACAGTAGCTTTCAGGCAGCTTGATTTCCCCTGAAATACAGACAGCAGTGTTTGAGGAGGCCCAGAGCCAGCCCAGGCTGAGCAGGAGGAGGTACAAAGCTGAGAAAAGCTGTGGGCTCAGTGTTAGGGACAAGCATGAAAGGGAACAAGAATACTACAACAGGGAAACAAATCCCTCCCCTTGTACCTATATTCTTAAAATTCAATGGCTAAGCCCAGTTTTGAGGATATGCCTCAGCATCAATTATTGGAGGAACCTGAATTCAGAATGAGAAGTAGTGGAGGAGCAGGGCTGGGAAAGAAGCTGCTCACCATTGGTGTCCAGGGAGCTTCTCAGTTTGTTCCAGACAGACAGAAACACATTCACTCTCCTCTCTAACAGCTCCCTCATCACACCTGAGAAACAACAGAAATATAAATCCATCAAACACGTTTTCCTGGTGAAACTTTCCGATGCAGGGATCTTCAGAGCACACCACTGAACTCCAGGCAACTGCTTCAACTGCTCAAGAGACTAAACAGACACCAAACACCTTTCTAAAGTTATCAAATGGAGTCACCTGCTCAGTTTGTTACTTTTCCATTATTGTCTGGTCCTGGCCCAGGCCACAAGGATGGATTGGTCCTTGGTCTGATTCCACATGACCTTTATTTACTTTCCCATAAGTACTTAAAAACATTAGTAATTGCTCTTTAGGCAAGCCCTGTTCTAGGGCTGAGCTTAAAATGCCAAAAGAACCACTGCTGCACTGCACAGAGCTCCCACTCCTCATAAAAAATCTCCTGTACCTAATTCCCTTTAAAGTCATCTGGTAACTTTTCCAACCCTATTCAAGTCTCCAGTTCATTCAGGCGAGAATTAAAAGGAAAAGGAAAGTTTTCCCCTTCACAAGACAATCCAGCATTTTCTGTTTCATTAATTACAACTTTGGCAGAGTCTCCTCACCTGAGCGGGGTTCCCTGAGGAATTCCCCAATGGAGCAGTCTTTCATCTCTGCTGTGTTCTGGAATTGCCTCACCAAGTCTTTCTGCAGAGCCAGAATCTCTGGTAGGAATTTCACCAGCCTCAGCTCACTTTCCTGGAAGAGGAATGGGAACCTGTGGGTAAGGCTATGCTTGGACAAACCAGTTGGGAATACTTTTATGGTATTACTTCTTAAATGTTTAAAAGACAACAATATCTTCCATGTTCATTCTCAAGATCACAGTAAGTACTGAGATAATCCAAACATAGTTTAGTCCTGGGCAATCCAAGGCTCTCACCCCTGTGCCAGCCCCACCTTCTGCAGGAACTTCCAGAGGAGAGGGACGGTGTCCTTGGCATTCTTCTGCTGCACAACGTGGCTCAGGTTCTCCACTGAAACCCTCCTGCGGCAGCTCCACATCTTGGAATGGTGGATGTGGCTGTCCCCTGGCAGCTGGGACAGGAATGCAGCTGGGTCCCCATACACTATTTTCACTATGGGGTTGGAAGAGATTCTCTCATCCTCTTGTATCCGTCGGTTTAACTTCAGAAGCTTTTTATCCAAATCCTGTATTTAAAAAATAATAAGTTATTGGATGCTGTGAAATACCTTCAAAAGAGCTACACCATTTCTGCTTTTCCAGCAATACGAATTCATCCCAGAACAACTCCAGTCTCAGGCTCCCATTTCCCCAGGTAGAATAAAGATGGCTAATCCTTAACCTGCAGCTGTGCCATGCATGGGCTGGCTTTAGGAATGGCCAGGTGAACAGTGCAGCACGCATATTACAACACACCAGATTTCCAGTGGATTTTGAACTGCTCAGCTACTGACTCTCTATAGCAGATTTCTCACCTGCAATTCAGGAACAATAATTGTGTTTGCAACAATTTCTTCCCAATTGTTTCTCTCCTCCTTGGTGGACAGAATCTCAAACTGCACCAGCCCTGCAACAGGAATGTTTCACCTCTTACATCTGCAGCATGTCAGTGTAAAGAAAGCACAGATTCACAGGTACTAGAAGCTAATTGAGTATCTTGGTCCAGCTGGAGAGTGACACCCAAAGATCACACAGTGATCCAGGTTTCCAGGAGCTTCATGTGAATGATGGGGACATTTACACAACTCCTTCATAACCCCAGAAATATTGAACAGATTGTCCAAGCTCAGACCATGTCCAATGACAGAGTGAAGCCTGGAATACTGACTGGTGCTGTCCCACACTCCAAATATGGGCTATTTACACATTAATGCCTCTGTGCCACAGCAACTCCAGACCCCACTGTGAATGCCACTGTGCCATCCCTCTTCTCCCAAAGAGCTTCTGGTACTCATTGAGAGGCAGCACTGAACAGGGATTGCACAACAAGATGCTGTGCTGGGAAGCAGCCCTGCTCAGGAGCTGCAAGCTCTGCCCACCTATCGTGACATTGTTTTGTCAATAATTCATTTTCAGAGTTATCGACTGCACCAAACCTTGCAAACCTCACGTACTCAACTGAAAGAAGCAAACAGCCAAAAATTCTTCCCTCCCTACAGTAAGAAATAAGCTTCAAACTCTATTTTGCTCTTCAGCTCAGCTGCTGATGTTTAGGGGTGAAGAGGTTTATCAGCAAGGTGGCTGCATGGCCACAGCTTTTCAACCACAACCCTAAGTGTGACAGGGCAGGTGGCTTTTCTTACCATGGTCTTGCTGCTGCTGGGGTGCCTGCAGGAAGCTGCTGAGCACCAGGTGCAGTATGTTGATAGTGTCATCCACACTCTTCCCCAAACTCCTGGTCAGCTGTGCCAAGTCCTCCTGAATATGCTGCTTCAGGAAACTCATCACATCATTCACTGTTGGCTTGATCATCCTTCCCAGCGACTAAAGACGACAAAGGCAAGAGCTGAGCACAGCCAAAAACATCCAAGGAAGCATAAAGCACACAGAGCTCTGTCGTGCCAGGCACCCCCACCTGTGGGATTCCTGCCACCTGCGCCCATCAAGGCGGGCTGGGTGGATGGGCCTGCATGGAAGTGCAGGAATTAACCAAAATCCCCAAAGACCCAAGGGAATTTGGGTCTTGCATCCTGACAGACTGCCCTGGTCACTTGGCAGTATGATGAAAAGGACCAGCAGCATACAAAGGTTCCCCTACATTTGTGTGATCACTTAGAAGCATTTCTGGAAGATACCTGAGGGTCTCTGGAGGCTCCCAGCAGCATGGACAGGTGAGTGAGCAAACGGAGCAGCACAAAGACCGTGGAGGACATGCCCCTGTCAGATATTCCCAGTGTCCTTCTGTGCTCAATATCTGCAAGGATGTGGCCAGTTTGAGTTCTGTCTGGACGATTCCTGTAGGACAGTGCATATATGTTTTTTTTTACCTAGACAAAAACCACACAAGACATCTCTGATACCCAGCAATGCCTTTTTGACCCATAATGTCTTTGAGCACCATAAAAGCTGCCAATTCAAAGTGCCACAGGGGAGTGAAGGCTTCCAGTCAGTTTTGTGCACAGAAGAGCAAATTTCTTTGGTTTTGCTGCCTGATTACTCTTGCTTGGACATCTCTTTCTTACACCTTCCAGAGAGCAGCATGAAGTGGTTGGTACCTCTGGCCTGTGAGGGCACCACAGGCAAGTCCCACATTATTTAGCCCTGCAAAGGCCATGCAGCAAAGCCCACCTGGACAGACGGAAGCCCTCCACGGGCTTGTGGTTTCTGCCTCCAATGGGGACGTGGCATTCGGGACAGCGGCTCTTTTCCATGGGGCGCCCACACTGGGAAAAGCAACAGGAGAACACTGAATTCCAGAGCAACAGCTTCTCTAGCAGAGAAAGGGAATGAAACAAAAATCCAGCCTCTAAATGGTTAATTCAAACCCTGCTACAAACTGGGCCTCTGCCTGATGTTTCCCAATCTGTGGTATAAATGCTGGGGGTATGCTAAATTTTACATTACAATGACAAAATGATCAATAATATTGAGTTTAGAAGTAGAACTCTGTGCATCAGAAAATTAAAAACAGCAAATAAAATAAAACAGTTTGTTGCTGAAAACTTTATCTGCTTAAATACCCACCAGTCCCAAATTCTTACCTCTCCCACAGTGCAGGGGTGGCCATTGGCACATTCTGTGAAGAGAGAAACAAACAGGACAGTATTCTCAGACAGATTTATACAGCCCCTTCCTATGGACCATCATCCTGGAGCAGGAAACATGCTTCAAGATTTAATCAAAAGCCCTGACCATCCCAAAGCACAAAGGACTGACAGGCCCATGCAGGAAGCCAAGGAATTTTTCAGTGTTGCTTCTCCTTGAGAAACAAGGAATCAAAGCTGGACAGATTCTACTGCTGAGGGCAGGAATGGTCTCACCCCCCATTCCCTGCTGCAGGAAGGTCCAGCTGTGGGAAGCAGAGACAAAGCTGTCCAGTAAGATGGCAGAGTTCTCCTCTCACACCCTGTTCGTGTTGCCTTTGTGCCCTCTCATGCTCTGTGGACGGCAGCAGGCTGAAGACTAAACAGCACTGGGTGTCCTTTGGTGCATCACCCACACAAACTGTCTACAAATCTGGATTTACCACGGATAACTCATACTGAGGAGTATGTTTGTCCTCACATTTGGAACAGTTTCACTCTCCAAACTCAAGGAATTCCTTCCCCAGCCAGCCAGCAGCACTCACCATACCAGTGCAGATCACGTATTTCCTCCCAGGTCCTTGCCTGAGCCACGATGTCCTCGGGCATCGTGGGCAGAAAGGAGTGCTGAGGAGGGAAAGAGGAAAGCAGTCACAAATGGATCTGGGAATCAGCTCTGTCCTGTAGCAGTCACTCACTGGGTCTCTGTTCACACTGGGGAACAAGAAGCATCTGAGAGCAGAGGTCAAGCAGGTGACACAGATGCAGATTTTCAAATTCACCTTTGAAAATCCACTCTTAGAACTGTCAGTATTGTTAAGACTTGCATGTGCACTCTCCAGACATCCTGCAGTGCATTGCTGATGCACCCTGGTGCATACCAGCGTGTTCCCTTCCACCTTGGGGAGCCAGGAATAGCAGAGCAGCAGCTCTCTCCCCCTGATCAAGGAGCCAGAGCTCTCTGAGTAGGCAAGTCAGCATAGTGGGAGCTGCCAGCTGCTCCCAGCCTTGCTCACCCAAATATCAGCAAAGGTATTTAAAGCTTCATCCTGCTCAGGATGGAGAGGTGCCTTGAAAAGATACCAGGCCAGAGCCTGGTAGTGTGCTAATTAACCCCAACAGCACTGAAATAATTCCCCCCAGTGTTTCACAGCTCAACCAGTGAGTTGGAGCATTGCTGTTGAGAAAGAGGATCCAGCAGACACAGGCAAGATCCAAGGATGAGCTGAAGTGGATGTGAGCTCCGTGCCCTCACCTGCATGGTGTGTGGCTTGAAGGCCAGGTTCCTGAGGGGCTGCAGGACAGGGCTGTGCCCGCAGAGCAGCACAGCAGCCATGTGCACAGCCATCTCCACCAGGGCTCCCTGCTGGCTGCGGCCCTGCGGCTTCACAGCCAGCCCAGGCAGGGTGTTCTTCACCAGGGCAACTGCAAGAAGCTGCAGCTCAAGGGAATTCAGCACTCGGGAGCGCTGGATGAATTCAGTCATCACCTCTGTTTGCTGAAAGCACAGATTGGAAAGAGCTAAAGCCATCAGGATACTGCCCCCACCCAAACAAATAGCACTGGCAGCTGCTTCCCACACTGGGTTACCCTGCTCCCAAAACCTCCACAGCCTGCTCAGCTCCAGGCCATCACCCTGGCTGGGGCACAGGAACCAAAGCTCCTCCACCACTGATGCAGATCCCCTTCCTCCTTACCCATGAAGCAGGTTTGCCACAAGCTGCCAAAGAGGGGTGCTGCTGCTGCTTGGGATGTCCTACCTGCTTCTTGGGACGAAGGCTTGGATTCCCATACAGAACAGTGACCTCTCGGAAGATAGCGAGGAGCAGGTGGGCAGATTTCAGAGCTGGAGGGCTGCTGGAGGCCTGGGAAGAACCAAGGATGTGGGTGGGAACAGGCCAGAGCTGCCCCAGCTACAGTGACGGGATGTGCAGGTGGGAAAGTAAAGAAAATGTGCTTGAGCACAAGCCCCAGTGACCTCCCAGCAGAGGCCTCCCAGGTGCTGGGAACAGACACTGCCCAGAGGGACACAGCAGAGCTGGGGCCATGCAAACCCAGCAGGGACCTGGAGGGAGGACAGGGCCTAGCAGGGGTCTGAGGGAGCACTGGGCTGTACCTCCTGGGCTTTGAGCAGCCCCTGGGCCGTGCCCTCCATCATGGCTCGTCCCACGGCGTCACGCAGGGCCCGGGACCGCTCCCCACACACCAGGTACCGGTCGATGTGGTTGGACTGGCCATCCTGGACCTGCCAAGGGAACAGCCATGCACAGCACTGGGGACAATCACCCAGCTGGAGGTGGCATAATCTCCTCTTCCTCCCAAGCACTGGGGCATTTCAGGCTCCCCAGAGCATCAGCAGCAGACATGGTGCTGCCAGGAGAGACTCCATTCACCCGACAGCCAGGACAAGCCACCTCCCAACCACTGCCACTCTGGCCCAATGCCAAGGGACACACAACAGTAGGAAAACCCCGAAGCAGCACAAAGTGAAGGCAAAGAACCAGAACCATCACCGGGAGATGCCTCTTGTCTACCTGCTGCAGAATTTCTGCTGGGAACACCCAGCTGAACTGTGGCTCTGTGACCAACTTCTGAGCAAATTCCATCCCGTGCTGGCTGGCAATCCTCCTGACCAGGTACACACAGTGCCAGTCATTCCTGGCAAGGCTGCAGAACTTCTCCACGTTCTTTAGGTAACGGTGCTTCTCCTTCATCTGCTCTGGCTCTGGAGGGCAAAAAAGAGGTTAAAACAAAGAGGCAAAAGCACATCCCATCCTGTCAAACTTTTCTGTCTGCCCCAGCTGTAGCACCAAGCTCCTGTACTAGTACTGTGTTATTACACAGAAGAAACTCAGAGCCCTCCTTTCCTCAGGGTGTTGTCTGGAGCATATCCTCACCCAGATTTCAGACAATGATTCATTTCTTTGACAGGGAAGGTATAAACTCGTCAATATAAACTCTTAATCCTTCTAGCTGTGCAGAGCTCTCATTTATACAAAACAATAACCCTTACATCAGTCCTGGGTCTCAAGCAGCATTTATGCTTTAAAGTTCAATTTAGTGGGCTCTAAATAAATCTCATTGTTAGCAACAGGAGGATAAAATAAATCTCCTTCCACAGGTGTTAACTGCTATGTAACTACACTGGGGTCACCAAGCACAGCCTTTCTACCAGTTACAGAGCACTTCTAACACATGGTACAGGGGACAGACAGTGACTGACACCCCCAAGGAAAAAGGGAGCTGCTGCTCTCCTTCTTGGCCATGCACCAAAACAGGTCCTAGCAGAGCACAGGGCACTGCCTGTGTCCAGCTCACCCGCCCTGCATGCAGCACTTCCAGCAGAGCAATCAGACTCACCCTTGTGCTGCTGCAGGTCAAAGATGAGCTCTGCAGCCCTGCTCAGGCACAGGCGCACCTCGGCCACAGCCTGCAGGTATTCCACAGAGGCTTCCTGGGGAGCCCCGCTGCTGCTGGCTGGCAGGTAGTTCTCTGGAAAGCCTCTGTCCTCAGGCAGACTGTTTCCATGCCCACATCCCACGCTGTCCTCTAACTTCTCACACATGGAATCCTATAGAGAAGCCAGAACACTGGTGAGTGGCAGAGCAATCTCACTCAGCCACCCCTACCTCACTCAGCCCCCAGGGCACCCAGCCTGCCACGAGCACAGCAAACCATCCCTGAGCCTCCATACTAAACCTAACCCTCCAGCCCATCCTGTCACGAGCACAGCAGACCATCCCTAACCTTCCAGCCCACCCTGTCACAAGCACAGCAGACCATCCCTGAGCGTCCAACCCATCCCTGCACCCTTCCAAACCACTGCTATTGCCCCCTCATCTTAAAATTCTGCCATGTCACCAAACACCATTGTTAGGATGTGCCCCAGCTGTCCTACACTCCCAAGTCTTGGAGCTGAGCCAGAGCCAGGAGCAGACTGAGAATAACAGACATTCCATGTTCCAGGATGCCAAACTCTACCTGTCTGTCCCTTAGCAAGAACACGAATGGTGATTTTAACTACAAAGTCACTTGCCCAGCTCTTACCTCCAAGCAGTTGACAAACAGCAAGTAGAGCTCTTTTTTATCATTTTTCTCTAGAAGCTTGCTGTGCTCCACCTGGGACAGGTAACGCTGCACATCATCTTTCACTTCACTGAAGCTACAGGAGAGAGAGAGACCCCCTGACACAGCTGCCATGCTGACAGGACTGCCCCTGCTCTAAATCACAGCAGAGCTCCCAGAGCTGGCTATGTTACAGGTGGGGTCACTCTGGATCCAGATGCAAGATGGAGAAGCCCTTGTGATTTTTTGCAAGTGACATTTGGGAATGAGCCAGGCTTTGATCACCACCAGTGTTCAATGAGCACTTCCAGAGAAAAAGGCATCTGGTTCAGGAGGTGGTCACACCTGAGAAAGGGGCTTTTGTGCCCTGCCTGCAAAGGGAGGCTAGGAGGGCTGTGGGAATGGAGAGGTCTCTGGAGCAGACATAAGATCAGTTTAAATCCTGATTAAATCTCAGTGAATGAGGAGTTTTGCTTTACTGACCTCGATCAGAGCAACTACTCAGCCACCTTGCAGAACCCAGGCATCCACCCTCAGCACAGGGTTAGTGAGGGAGAGCCAGGTAAACCTTGCACAGGCTGCTCACACTGCACCACAAGCCCCATGCAAGCCAGCCAAACTGCATGACTAATACAAAGGGATTCAGATTCAATGAAACTCAGGGAGGTGAGGAGAACAATGGGATGGGTTTGATGAGGAACAGAGCTGAACCTGGCCCTGTACCTAACCTCCCTCAGCTGAATGTGGTTACCTGTACTTCAGGAGCAGCTTCAGCATCACAGAGCGGATGATGGGAGTTTCATCCACCTCATCATTAAAAGGGGACAGGAATTTTGTGTAGACAGCAGGGTGAGGGTGATCTGTGGAGACAAGGGAAGGACAGGTTTGGCAATCGAGAGAAGGTGGTGACAGATCCAGCTCTATAAGACTGAGTGTCAGAGTGAAGGGAGCTCACTTGGGTCTTTCAAGACTGTTCCTCTGCGAGCAAACAGCAGATCCAGGAGGCTCTGGATCACCTCTGGCTCAGGGGGCTTGTTGTCCTTGAAGCACATGGTGGTGACCATGTCAATGAAAAAATTATTGCACCTCTGCCGGAACAGGGCCTTCTTTGCTATGGCAGCTCTGGGAGGGGCAAAAGCAAACACAGAACCTCTTAAACCACAGAGGAATTGAGCACACACAGGCAAAAGTCACCCAAGGGAGACACTTTTCAACCTTCCCAATGAGATGATCCTTGAGGTCCCTTCCAACCCAAATCATTCTATGATTTGCATGTTTTTATAGAGGCCAAGGCAGCTTTCCCCTTTTTTTCAAACAACAGAACAGACAGGACCTGTCCAGTTCCAGAGGGATGAAGCAGAGTTCACCCTCCACTCCGCTTGTGTTGACCACCTCAGAGTTAAGAATTTCCTCAAAAAGTCTCCCCACCCAACACTCACACCTTGGAGAGGGTAGCTGGAGTACCTGAGCTCCTCAGAGACAGTTAACTCCACATCCTCCACAGCAACCCTGCAGTAGGGACAGTACATCTGTGCTGGCACCAGCCACAGGCTGATGCACTTGTGGCAGAACACGTGGTTGCAGGGCAGGCAGACAGGGTCCTTCGGCTCTTGCAGGCAGATGGGACACAGCTCCAGACCATGCCTGGAATCCAGAAACAGCAATGAGTAAAGCTGCTTCCGTGCTGCCTCCCCAAAAGCCTTGAACAAGACGTCGAGCTGCAGCTAGACCAAGAACTGGCTCACTGCTCAGCTCAGGGTGCAGAACCAAGCACGGTCATTGCTCTTCCCTTGGCTTTCACTGCACCCCATGCAGCACTGCCACAAATGTGCTGGCAACACAGGCAATGTCGCTGCTGGCCCCTGCCCCAATGAGATGATCCTTGAGGTCCCTTCCAACCCAAATCATTCTATGATTTGCATGTTTTTATAGAGGCCAAGGCAGCTTTCCCCTTTTTTTCAAACAACAGAACAGACAGGACCTGTCCAGTTCCAGAGGGATGAAGCAGAGTTCACCCTCCACTCCGCTTGTGTTGACCACCTCAGAGTTAAGAATTTCCTCAAAAAGTCTCCCCACCCAACACTCACACCTTGGAGAGGGTAGCTGGAGTACCTGAGCTCCTCAGAGACAGTTAACTCCACATCCTCCACAGCAACCCTGCAGTAGGGACAGTACATCTGTGCTGGCACCAGCCACAGGCTGATGCACTTGTGGCAGAACACGTGGTTGCAGGGCAGGCAGACAGGGTCCTTCGGCTCTTGCAGGCAGATGGGACACAGCTCCAGACCATGCCTGGAATCCAGAAACAGCAATGAGTAAAGCTGCTTCCGTGCTGCCTCCCCAAAAGCCTTGAACAAGACGTCGAGCTGCAGCTAGACCAAGAACTGGCTCACTGCTCAGCTCAGGGTGCAGAACCAAGCACGGTCATTGCTCTTCCCTTGGCTTTCACTGCACCCCATGCAGCACTGCCACAAATGTGCTGGCAACACAGGCAATGTCGCTGCTGGCCCCTGCAGCCTGCTCCAGTGTCAGTACCTGTACAGCCTGCTGCTGACCTCATCCTTGCATTTGCGCAGCACTGTCAGCACCAAAGCAAAGGTTGGATAAGACTTCATGTCTGAATCTTGCTGGAAACACTGCAGCAAGAAAGAACAAGGGAAAGAACAAGGCCCAGTGACTCAGCTGCAACACCTGAGATGAGAATTCCCATGGTCAGCTCAAGAAGGAAAAGGTGAAATGGCAGCTTTGCTCACCTCAGCAAGAAGCAAAGTGTATTTTCTCATTAAATCCTCAAATTCTGGCATGACGGAGTGGATGCCCAACAGGATGTGCTCCACGAAAAGTGCCATGGCAAACACACAGCTCCAGCAGGCCCTGGGGGGGACAGCAGGCTGGCACCACAGCAGGAATGGCAACCGGGGCAGCCAGGGGTTCACTGCTACTCCTGCTCCCTCCACAGCACTCCTGCACTTGCCACTTGCTTTTCCCTTTGGCTTTCCAGAAGGGTTTTTGTCAAGGACAGAATATTCCAGCACTTCCCCCAGGGGCTCAAGGGCCTGGCCTGGAGGCAGCACTGCAGCAGGACCAGCAGCACTGCACATACTTTCTCACACCTCTAACTTCTAGCTCAAAAAATTTGTAAAATACCGATCACAATTAGCTGTACTTTCTTTACTTCAAATAAACTAAACAAGGTCTGTGAGAAACTGGGGTAGCACTCTGGGCTTTCTTCCAAAACACAAGAGGCAGTGAAATTCCTCATCTCTTGAGTCCTTATGCACAGAGGATGAAGTAGGGAGACACTGCTGGTTAACAGGAACCTGAGGAGACTTTTAAATAACCCCTGAACCCAGATGGAATGCACCAGACGATACCAAATTTAGAGAGAGAATCTGCAGGAGATGAGGGAACAAAAATGTGGTTCTTGCTGCTTGGTATGTAATTGAGACCAGCAGGAACCCTGAAAGGTTTGCAAAGCCTGAGAAAAGCAGCACCAGAACAGCTTCAGGCTGCTCCAATGCCCCAGAGAACCTCCAGGCAAAGAGTAGGGCTGTGAGCAGAGCTTGGTACCTACCTGAGCTCCCTCAACAGCCGATGGCGGTGGCTGCCCCTATGCTGGGCACCCTCCTCTCTGCACAGGAATTCAATGGGTGTATGGAGGTTCTTCACTCTCTGCAGCCAGAGCTCGGGGGAGGCTGTCCGCACCAGATTCTTCAGCTCCTCAGCACACGCCATGGCAGCCAGCACGTCCAGATCCTGCACACACACGGGGACAGGGGTAACAACAGCTGCATTTCAGAATTATTTATGGACCTAGGCCTCTCAGTCTGGTTTGCTACACCACATGTTCTACTGAATAATGTCCTACTTGATTACTTTAAGCTCTACAATTCTCATGTTTGTGGCTTGGCTCGTTAACATGTCTAATGCAAAAGCAGGGCAAACTATTTTAAAACCTGCTTGTAGCAATAAGAACACAGTAGATCATTCCCAATTCTGAAGGACCCCAGCCTGTGCTTCCCACTCTACTGTGGCCGAAATCCAAAGGAGACTGAAGAGCAATGCAGACAGAGCTCCCTGCCAGAGCTGAGGGAGTGACTCTACCATCTCAGAGCATGGAATTCTGCATTCTTGCGGGGTCAGGAGGTAGCCAGTCACACAGGGGTACACTGCCAGGATCCTGGAGAAGTTCTGCAGGTGGCTCTTGAACTGGTTGTGTGCCAGGTGGGCCCAGGCCAGGGAGGGCACCAGCTCCTTTGTCCAGGGAGACTCTGCCATCCACTCCTTAACCCAAGACAGGAACGCCACACGCAGACACTGCAGGGGTGGGACACAGAAAACCAAAGGTGAGAAAGTACTTTTATAACTCATCTTGTACTGGAAAGCCTGGCAAAATTCTCTGAAAGATGAGAATCACTTCCCTACAAAGACAGCCTTAAATGTGTCAATTTATACAGGTGCTGCCTTTCTGAGTGATCCCAGTATCCAGTAGTCTGCTCTGGGGTTCCCTTGTTCTTGGGCAACTGTCTCAGAGGGGCATTTTCCCCAAGGCAGGACTGATTCAGAAGGACACATTCAGAGGCATCACACTCTTCTCCCCATTCAAAGGGTTTCCAGCCCCTGACCTGCAGCTGCTCCTGGGAGGACACACCAATGGTCAAGACAACAAAGTCTCTGATGTAGCACTCAAAGAGCAACCGCCTTTCTTCCCCAGTCAGAGCAGACATGAATTTTCCCAGGGCAGTGTTCTGGAAGTATTCCACAAACTTCTCAGCATGGCCTGGAAAATGAGGATGCAAAGAAAAGCTAGATGTTAGGAGGAAGCTGGCTTTGACACAGCATCTATCCTAGAGACACTGACACCTCATTAATCACTGATGCATCCAGCACTGATGCAAACATGGCACTGAGGAGGGACTCAGGCCAAGCCTTGTCAGCCCAGCACCATGTCGTATTTCTGGAATCTCACCTTGTCATTAACTCCTGGCTGCTCCACAGCACTTTGAATGCAAGGGCACAGAAAAAGATGAGAGAAAGATGAATGGTAAGAAGACACTGCAGGGGTGGGACACAGAAAACCAAAGGTGAGAAAGTACTTTTATAACTCATCTTGTACTGGAAAGCCTGGCAAAATTCTCTGAAAGATGAGAATCACTTCCCTACAAAGACAGCCTTAAATGTGTCAATTTATACAGGTGCTGCCTTTCTGAGTGATCCCAGTATCCAGTAGTCTGCTCTGGGGTTCCCTTGTTCTTGGGCAACTGTCTCAGAGGGGCATTTTCCCCAAGGCAGGACTGATTCAGAAGGACACATTCAGAGGCATCACACTCTTCTCCCCATTCAAAGGGTTTCCAGCCCCTGACCTGCAGCTGCTCCTGGGAGGACACACCAATGGTCAAGACAACAAAGTCTCTGATGTAGCACTCAAAGAGCAACCGCCTTTCTTCCCCAGTCAGAGCAGACATGAATTTTCCCAGGGCAGTGTTCTGGAAGTATTCCACAAACTTCTCAGCATGGCCTGGAAAATGAGGATGCAAAGAAAAGCTAGATGTTAGGAGGAAGCTGGCTTTGACACAGCATCTATCCTAGAGACACTGACACCTCATTAATCACTGATGCATCCAGCACTGATGCAAACATGGCACTGAGGAGGGACTCAGGCCAAGCCTTGTCAGCCCAGCACCATGTCGTATTTCTGGAATCTCACCTTGTCATTAACTCCTGGCTGCTCCACAGCACTTTGAATGCAAGGGCACAGAAAAAGATGAGAGAAAGATGAATGGTAAGAAGCACAAAGAAAAGCTGCCTGCACAGAACTCTGCTGGCTCACAGGAGCACAGAGGGACTGAAGGTGACTGCAGTGACAGGAGCGGCAGAGCAGTGACAAACCAGAGCTGAAAGGGCAGTGGATGAAGATGCTGAAGCCAGGCTCCCACCTTCAGTGTTTTGGATGCACTGAGTCTCCAACCACATCTCTTCCAGGTACTCCTTTATCCTCCAGCTGAAGGGCATCTCATTCCCAGCATCAGCAGATACCATCATGTTGTTCTGCACCACGATTATCTCTGTCTGAGGGCTGGGGAGTTAAAAGGTCATTAAGGCACAGGGCTTTTGTCTGGGAAGCACAGTGCAGACAACAGAGCCAGAGGCTGCAGAAAGCAACTGAGCCCTAGGAGGGAGGGGAGAGGGAAGGGAGGGAAGTGCAGGACTCTGAGAAGAACAGGCTGAACTGTGAACAGTGCCCTGCTGCCCTCCTGGAGCAGCCAACAAACAACATCCCTCTCCCTCGGGGGTAGAGCCAGTGCTGGGCTGCTCCCAGTGCTGCCAGCCCAACCCAGCCCAGCCCAGCCCTCCTGCTGCTCCCCTGGGCTCACCTGTTCTTCCCTGAACTCAGGAATTTGGTGTCATTGAACATGAACATCCACAGCTTTGTCACCCAGTTTGCTCCTGACCTGACCAGTAGCTCCAGATTGCCATTCCTGTCTATGATAGCGACCAGGAGAGCCAGGAAGGGAGTGACCACCTTCTGCACTCGCTTCCACAGGGCGTCCCTTTGGGAAGAGAGAGATGGAGAAACCCAGAGGAAATGTGAGCAATGGCATCAGCAAAACAGGAGGTGCCTGCCCTGAGTAACTAATTCTATCACATATCAGTATTTTGACATGTGACAGAATTCTAATGCTGCCTTTATGGGAAAGAATATCACCAACAAAAAATCCCTGCACTTCTCTCACTCCTGGCTCACCTGTATCCCACTGTTCCACTCAAGCACTTGTGCATGTTGTCCCAGTACAGCCCCTTCAGCTCTAACTCACCCTTCCCCAGGACAGGCTAAAATTGCCTCCAGAGAGTTTCTACCACAGACTGGAGACTGACACTGCAAATGCTGAAATTACACAAAGCTGCTGTCTCTGCTGCACAGGTGCCACTTGCAGATCCTTCCTGGGAGGCTGTAGGTGACAAGGCAGTACTGCTCTCCTCACCTGAAGGAACCTGCCTCTTCCAGAGCACTGAGGTTGGAAGCTTCCCGAAGCACCCAGTTTTTTGGGTGAAGGGAATTTTCTTCTTGCTTCTTCAACAGGCTGGAGAGACGAGCCTTGGTTATCTTCAGGAAAGAGGCTACAAAACAACAGGGAACTTGTGTTTTCTCTTCTATTAGCTTGGACACAAATATCCCACCAAGCACAGCATTTGACAGTTGTTCCAATAATTGGCCAACTGGGGGAAAAAACAGCCAGTACAGTGAGAGAAAAAGCCACCACTTAAACAGAAGAAAAGCCCCATACCCACAAATACACTGCAGCATGGACACATATTCTTGGGAAAGCCCCCTTGCCTGCACCCAGCAAGGACCTCTGCATCCCCAGCGAGCTGACTGACTGTTTTGGTGGTCCCCAAATGTCCAGGGACTCCCTGCAGCACACACCTTTCAGCTCATCCTCTTTGGAGAAAAGGCCAAGCAGAATCTCAATTCTCCTCCTGCTCCGGCTCAGGTCCTCGTTCTGGTCCTGCAGCATGCCCACAGCACTCTGCACACAGGTCCTCAGCAGCACTGTGGTGTCCAGGATCTCACCCTGCCCAGCAAAACAAGGTCATTCCCCTGGAGTGACCCTCCTGTCCCCAGCACACTCCCTTGAAAGGTTTCCAGGGCTCCCACAAAGGGCGTGCTGCCTAGCACCTCTGTTCCCAGCTTCCCTCAGATCAGGCTGCAATTCTCAGCTCTTTTGCTGTCAAGAACATGATGCAGCTTCTGTGGCCCTTTCAAACTGGCCTGTGAGACATCATTTGTGCTGAGCTGAGATTGCTGCAGGGGAAAGATTCAGCAGTTTGAAGAAAAAAAATGGAAATAATCAATGTGACCAGGGAAAATCTGCCCTTCCTAGGAAATGCTCCATGTCCCTGGTGCTGGGCATGTCCAGCTGAGGCTGCCAGGGGCACATGGGGCAGTGTGAATGTGGCTGCAGCACAGCCAAGTCCTAAGCCAGCTCCAGCTCCACCTCAGAACACACAGCTGGAGTGAGGCTCAGGACATAGCTCCCACCTCCAGGGGGAGAAAGGCAATAGAAACTCTTAGAGCTGACTTTTAAAAATCAGAAGAACAAAATGACTAAGGAATTATGGGGTCCTTAGAATGGTTTATTTCTTTAGTGATGGTGATTTTGACTGGGTAGTGGGGAGGAGGAACTTGTATCTGATCAGTAACATTCATGAGGCAAATATTGCTGATTGGTTTCAGGTGAAGGGGAAAACAAAAGGTGGGTTGCACCCATGGCTGACAGAGCAGAGAGCCACAGTGACAGCTGAGCGGCAAACAAATGTATTCTGAACTGACCTCATGGTGCTCTGCTCCTGGCACTGGTGCTCCAACCTCCACCTCCTCCTGCTGTGCTTCTCCATTAGCAGGCAGAGCTGCAGCTAAGGTGCAGAATTTTTGTTAGAAAGAAGCAGTGCACCGTCCATCAGTCAGATGAGAGTTTATTTTAGCAACTGCATCCCAGAGCAGCAGAACATCTGTCAGAGACCCATTAGCACCTGCATGAGTAGCTGAGATTCACCTCAAACACAGCCACAGCTGCTCAGGCTCTCAGGTTTCATGCAGCAAGAGCTGGAAGAAATGTGACATTGACAAGGATCTTTCTTTCCCCTTACTTTCTTTCCTTTCACCACACTGCCTGACAGGAGTCAGGGAGAGCTTAAGGCATTAGTCAGTCTCTGCCATGCAGCATTTGCTACCTCCTGTGCTGGGACAGAGCACTCAGGCTGCTGAGCAGTGCAAATGCCATATTTTTGTCAAAAAGAAAAGGGAAAATACCAAATTAACTTGCTTGATGACCTAAAGTTGTAGTAATGAATTAAATACAAGTTGGGAGCCAGGTGGTGACCCCCACAAAATTGGGTGCTGAGCAGGGAAAGTCATCAGATACATTGTGGCAGGCATCAGTTCCCGTAGCACCAATCTGGGGCCACAGCTCCCCCTTTCCTAAGCACACAGCTCACCTCTGGTTGCATCTGGATCCTGAGAGAACAGCTGGCTGATGGTGAGGTTCTGCAGGGCTGTCAAGTCAGAGATCATGTCCTTGGATCTGCGGAGGTCGTCAATGTGCACCGACTGCCATAGCCCTACAGGCACAGAACAAGGAATCACTCCCAGCCTGCAACTTGTTCTTCCAGAACAGCTCCCCCAGAATTACCTGCCAGCTGCTGGGGTTACCTTCAGAGGTTATTAACTCTCACCTCTTGCTGCAGGAGGGGAAAGCACAATGCCCCCAGAACCTGCTGCTGCACACATCCCTGCCTGACAGTTGCAAGGTTCTGAGGCTCTCAGAAGCCCCCAGACCCAGAGGAACTTTGCTGGACATATCAGCACCTGCTCCAGAGCCTTTGGAAAACAACACATCCACAGAGTTACCCTTGTGGCTGTGTGCTATCTCTTCAGCCGACTGGAGAGGGGACCTGTCTGTCAGCAGGCAAGGCAAGGTGCTGCCAGCCAGGACTGCCAGGTACCGGTCCCCTGGGCAGTCCTGTGGGACAGGGAAGCAGCTCTGACAACCCACAGGGACACACTGAGTCCAGGTTTTCAGCATTTAAAGGAAGAATGAGCAAGAGGAATGATTGCCTGAAGGCAGCTGAAGAGTGAAGATGGACAGATGGGCACACGCACCTCCATGGAATCCCATGTAGGATGTTCCTCCTTCCAGACGGGAAAGCTTCACGATAAAGTAAACAAAGACAGAGACCTCCCCCAGGTCCACCTTGTTGATCTCATTGACAACAGTGTACCTGCAGCAAAGAGGAAATGCTGCTGGCAGAGCAAAGGCACACAGAGGCCCATGACCACAGGTCTCTCTTCAGAAAGGACACGTGTCCTCCCCCAGAACAGACACAGTTGACTCCCACTCCTTTCTCCCAGCTGTGGTGCTGAGCTGCCACCTCCAGATGTGCCCTGAATTATCCCATGACCCTCAACCCTTCAGGACTTCTGCAGCAAGTGGCCAGAATTCACACTACAAAGGGGATTATCTGCTCATTTCAACCCGTTTTGCTCATTCTGACTTGGGATATGGATTATTTGAAATACAATCCGTGCATTTAGATTCATTCTGCTACAGAATAAATTCTGCAAATTCCTGAGTGTGAGATCCCCAAACAGGACCAATAACCAAACACAGAGAGGAGTGGCCAGGCAGAACTGAACCATTCCACACTGCACTCACCGGGCTGAGGTGATGAGCCGGGCATCCTTAGAGCCATCTTCAAAGTCTGTCTGAACAATGAGGACTTTATTTCCTGAAGTGGAATCCAGAAAATCTCTGAAGAGTGAAAAGAGATTTAACACAAGTTACTAAGTATAAAGATCAAACATTAGAGACCACAGAACCAGCCACTCCACATTAGCTTTGGCTGCTGCAGGAAGAGAGAGAAAAACACGAAATCCCATTTCATGTGATGGAGCTGACAAGGTTTGTCCCTTATCTGCAGATATCTGGGCAGTGCCAGCACAGCCTCCCTCTTCCATATGTGCTATTCCGAATGCTCTGCCCATGCACCTTCCACACAGCTGAAGCCCAGTCCAAGCAGGAAAACATCGGCCCAGACTCACCGGATGCACTTCAGGAAGGAGTACTCTGTGTCAAACTGCTGCAGGAACAGGATCTGGGGCCTCTGGGCCTTGCCCTGCACCTCTCTCTCCAGGCAGGCAGCGTCAGCACTGGTGAGCAGCCGTGAGAAGGTGGTGACCTGGGGAAAGAGGGGCAGCAATGCAGCACAGACCCACCTGTGCTCGCAGGGCTGCCAGCCTGCTGCAGAGCTGCACTGTGCCCCAGCCTGCTGAAGAGCTGCACTGCCCCCCAAAATCAACGTTTATGTGCCGGCACCCAGCTCTGCACACCCAGCACTGTGGCACACGCAGGCAGTGCCATGCTGCAGCCCTGGCACAGAGCAGACCGGGGTCAGGAGGGCTGGCAGCACCCCAGCCTCACCTCAGTGAAGGCGGTCTGGGGCCCAGCCCCTGCACCCACGTGTGTGCTGAGGAAGTCAACGTGGCTGTGCCTGTAAAACCACTTGAACACCTCCATGCAGCGCTCCACATCCCGCAGGCTGACAAAGCTGCACTCATCGTCTGTCTGCCTCATGTACTTCTGGGAGGCAAAGAGCACCTCTGTGACTGTCCTCACCTCCTCCTTGGCCATGGGCAGCTGCTCCGCCATGCGCTGCACGATCTGCTGGATGTATGTCTTCTCCATGCGGTTGTTGAGCTGCCCAAAGTCCCACACCAGCGGGATCATGCTGGGCGGGAGAGCATGCACCCGGTACACGAGCTGTCTCAGTGGGATGGATCCCAGCTTCTCCTGAGTGTTGTCAGCCTTCACCCGGTAGCCCAGCCCAGCCAGCTCCAGGCGTTTGATCATCCTGTCCGTGTGCTTCCGGTAGGGATTGCAGGCTGCGATGATCCTCAGGCCAGAGCCAGACGCCAAAGGCTGCCCCTGCACCGTGCGGTCACACAGAACCTCCTTGATGCTGCCCACGGCCTCTGTCGTGTTGGCTTCGTCGAAAAAGAGGATGGTGTCCAACCCGTGCTGCTCCTTGTTTGATTTAGCCAGGGCTTCTGCTTCTCTGATCCTGGCGTAGATCATCTCTGCAGTGGTGCCTCCATGAACCTTGACAAGCTTCATGTTCTTCACCTTGGCAGACCCTCTGCGTAACTGGCACAGGAACTTCACCAGTCTGGTTTTCCCACAGCCTGTTTCTCCCATGATGACCACCGGGATGTTGCAGCGGAATCGCATCTCTATGGCCAAGATTTTCAGCACATTGTCTGTGGTGAGCTCGTATGTCTTGTCGGGGTCAAACACTCTGGGGAGCCCCAGCACCATGCACAGCCTCTTGAGCTTCTCCTTGCGAGTCAGCTGATCGAAGGGCACGTTGAAGGGAACCCCCTGCAGTAACAAGCCCTGGTACAGCTGGGCAGTCATGATGTTCTTCTTGATGACATTCCCATTCAGAGGATTGATGGCATCAATGTGATTTCTGGTCCGATGGAAGTGGAAACCAATGAATGTCATGGATGTACGATCCCCATTGAAAAACAGATAGGGATGAGGCTCTGACTCCCACTTCTTCCTGATGCGGAAAGGAAACAGATCTTCCTCTGCGACATTCTCCAGGTGGGAGGATCGTCTTCCTGAACTCTGGTCAGAAATGCTCAGGGAGGGTGTTGCAAAATCCCGTGCCATTAAAATCATAAAGCCAACCACAAAGTTCTTGAAACCATTCAAAATGTCCCCAACACAGCCAGGGTTGCAAAAGACAGAAGCCTCACAGTCTCTCAACTGAATGTTGAGGAACCAGGTGAAGTTGCGGAGCTCTGCCCAGGAGGGATCCACGACCCCGCAGTGCAGAAGGAAGAGCTGCAGACATTCTTTATGGCTGCCTTCCACCGAGAGCGCCTTGTACCAGAACGTGTCCAGGTCACGGCCCTGGTCAAACCTCTTCAGGTACTGGAAGGGTCTCTGAAAAGCCTCACTGCAAAATTCCTCCTCGTCCATTCCCACATCCCCAGAACGGTTCTCAAGTGTCTCCATTTCTAGCACTTCTTTGGGAGACTTGCACGTTATTTTAGGGAACACATCCATGAAGTGATACTTCTGGTGCACTGATTTCTGGACAAGAGAAAAAAAAAGGTCATCACAGAGCTGTAGCCTCAGTCTTCATCAGCTTAGTTAATCTGTTCTTAACAACCTCTTTGCCTAAAACTACAGACCTGGGGAACAGGAGCCAGCCTTTTCCCCATGCATCCCTTCTTCCACTTAAAGTGCACCAAGGAATCCTATTCCCACCTACATTTCCTTTCCAGGAACATGAGCCTGGCACCACCTTCAGCCCCTTCTCAGGGCTACTTCAAAGAAAACAAAACCCAAGAAACTGCTGGTATTTATTCCAGTCACTTCTGCATTCTGCTCTTACAGCTGCATATAAATATTCCCCTACTGTCAAACACGCAAATTAACATGAGGGAGATTAGATTTTGCATTTTTATGTTTCCTATAAACATTACAGTGAGGGCAGTGAGGCTTGGATTAATAGGCCTTCAGAAATTACCAACCCAAGGAAACCAGACAGGCCTAATTTGCTGTCTGGTGTAAATGTCACAACACCAAGGACACCAGTTCGTTATGGGATACAGCACTCCCAATACAACAGGGAACTCCATGCTGTGTTTACAGTTACAGTCTCTACAACTCACTACAGCTATGTACAAACATGTGCAAAGTGACTGAGAAATTCCCATAAAAGGAGCATTGCTGGTACGTACAGGTCTGGCTGCTGTCTTTGGCACTGGGGACACCTCCAGGATTTCAATGATGTACAGATGACACTTCTGCCGTAGCCACATGTTGCCATTATTATCTGTCAGGTACTGCAAAACCAACAGCTTGAAGAGAAACTCTGGAATTCCACGCTGCACCTATCACAAGGAGAGATACCAAGGCATTTCCTCTTTATTTACCCACCACAACTTCACAGAATCACAGAACAGTTGAGGGTGGGAAGGCTCTCTGCTTAAAGCAGGCCCAGCTAGACCAGGCTACTCAGGGCCACATTCAGTCAGGTTTTTAACGTCTCCAAGGTGGACACTCTACAGCTTCTCTGGGCAACTGCTTCAGAGTTCAATCACCTTGATGGTATTTGTGTTACTTACACAATAATGAGAGAACACTTTCTAGGGAAATGGCTAGTTGAGAAACAAGAACTTTAAAGAAAGCTCCCACAAGGATCCCCCAAGGACTTGTGGGACAAGGCAGCTGTGGGAGGGAGGGATGTACTCACTGAGGAGGTGATATCAAAATGGAATATCATGGGCTTTGTCTGGTGTTCTCTCTCCAGAAAAGGCAGGAGAGATTTTAGCACTTTATCTTCATCCACTTCTGGTTCAATCAGTCTGATGGTTTTCAGAAGTTCTGTGCACTCAGGCTGATCTTTTTGCAGTCTCTCATGCAGCCTCTTCACATACAGGGATTTGCCTGTTATTAAAAACACCACAAGAATCAAAAGTCATCAATATCAGATAGATCACGTTAAAAGTATAATAGAAGGAAATAAAATGTTTAGGTACCCCATGCCCTACAATCTCTGAAGCTTCCTGGAAGGCATTCAAGAACAAAGTCTAAAGCTGGTTTGAGAAGCTGTAGCCTAGAATCCAATACACTGCTCTTGTTACCATAAGGTTTGTTTTCTTTCCACCACCTGAAAGAAGCTTTACTCTTTATTAGGATTTGAATCTATTCTATTTTGTGCTTTTTTCTAAAGTCAAACCAGGGGACAAGGTGACTTTGAGCTTTCACCTCCCTGCACTGACCAGTCTGAATTGCTCTTTTTGACCAAGATACTTAAGTCTTGGACACAAAACCTGGCAAGGTGAACCTCACCCTGGTTTTGAGCTCTCAGCAGAGCCCACTCTGCACATGCCATCTTACCCATGCTAGCTCTTTTGGAGGACACAATCCCAACACACATGCACTCCTTGAACACGGATGCAGCCGAGCTGGACGGGTGAGCCACTCGGAAGTGGTGCTGCAGGTACTGCTGGATATCCTCCTGTGACCTCTGGGGAATCATGTGCACCCTGTAGTGGCTGAAGGCAGAGGGCAGGTAGCTGTTCTCCCGCTCGCAGTTGCACAGGATGATGAGCCTGTAGGAGCTGTTGTAGCACTGCAGGTGCTGAAACAGCTCCTCTGCCCTGCAACTGACGTCGTAGCTCAGCTCATCTGCATAGAGCATGGTGTAAATCTTGTCCCCACCCTGGCAGGGAATGAGGCACCTGTGCAGGAACAGTTCCACCTGCTCTGCGCTGGTCTGGGGCGTGCACAGCAGCACCTCATCGAAGGTGGGAAGGGGCTGCTTGGGGCTGTTCATGTAAACAGCCAGGGCAGAGCTGAGCACATCAGAGCGAGGGCAGGTGATGAGGTTGGGCTGGCCCACACAGAGCAGGTCCTCAGGGAAGTCTCTGGTGACAGATTCCCTGCCACTGCTGGCCAGCTTCTTCAGCCACACACCCAGTGTGTCGATGTCCAGGCAGCTGGGGAGGAAGGAGCCCATGCTGCTCATGTAGCACTCCCAGATGCGCTTCAGCCGGGAACTCAGGTCCCTCTCCCCATCCAGCAGCACTTGGAAGTCAGAAACAGCCTTCCCTGAGCTGGGAGGGCCATGGCTCCTGAGGGCTGTGAGGACATCCTGCTTAGTGCAGTGGGGGTTGAGGAAGGAGAGCATCATAGGGCCACCCGGGCTGGGTCTCCCCCGACCCAGCGCCGAGCACAGGGGCCCCAGCTGCTCCGCGCTGTAGTAGTTCAGATAGAAATGTTCACGTCGCCTGGCATTCATGAAGCGTTTCCAGCTCTCCAGGAAACTCTCCATGGTCTTGCAGAGGGCTGGGAGCACAGCTGCCATATCCCCTTGCCCTTCCAGCACTGGGACGGGGCCCAGGGAGAAGTCTATAAGAACACAGGATTCTCTGTGGGGTGAACAATACACCTGGGCAAGCCAGGAGCGGAAAAGCATGTTCCCAGCTGAGTAAAGGTCTATAAAGGCCTGGGCAAGTCTCTGGACATTGGAAAAGACCTGTGCGAAGACAGAGGAGAAAGAAACAAGCTGATTTTGCAAGTTTCAGCCATGAAACCCCTGGAAAGACATTCAATGAAGAGAAAGTCTTTGGTCCCAAAGTATGTCAGACCTTGTACAGCAACCACAGACTCTCTGTGTCTTTTTAACAGCCCCATCCCCAGGAAATCAGTAAGGAACTTCCAGCTTGCTACAAAATTACAGTGATGCTGCCAGCCAGGACAATCCCCAGTGCAGCCAGAGGATAAGGCCACCAGTTCACTCTTCTCTCTGCAGCTTAGTTCCATCTATAGCAAGGAACCACAGGCAGGAACACCCATGTGCCTGGGACCACCACCCCAGCAACTCTATTGTCAACCACAGCCTGAAGAATCTTATATTTAGGGGAAAAACCAGCCCTGGCCCAACACCAATTACTCCCTGGGTTTGGAATCTGACCTCAGAGAACCTCTCCACCTCCAGGCCTTGCTCTCCCTTGGCAGACATGAGCATCAGTTTGTTCTGCAGCTCGCGGAGCTCTGCCAGTGAGTACTTCCAGGAGGCCTCAGTGTCCCCCGAGGTTGCTGGGAGGGTGAAGTGCAGGACACTGTCCAAGGAGACCTGCCAAGAACAGGAGCTGTCAGCGTGGCTGGGGCTGAGGCTCTGCCCGAGGCCAGGGCAGCAGCCCCAAGGCAGGAGGGGCAGCAGGAACTCAGTGATCTCAGCCTCACCTTCTGGCCAGCAACTGGTGCCCTCAACACATAGACCCCTCTGCTGTTGATGGCAGCTGCCAGGGACAGCGAGGACAGCTCCACAGAGCCATGGCTCTCCTTCACTGTCTTCAGCCACTCCAGGTGCTGAGCCGAGGCACGCTGTGGGGAGAGAAAACACAGCACTGCCCCGACTGCTCTGAAATCTGATCTCTGCTTACACCTGACCAGGACAAACAGCTTAGGCTGGCAAGAGTTTCGTGATGGGGAAGGAAGAAAGGAATGAGTACTGGCTTCAGTCTGCCCTTTCTGCACAGCTCTTCCTTACCCACTCCATGGGAGGCTGAACAGAGCCCACCGTGCTCCAACACCCCTTGCTGCAGAGGCAGGCCCTGCTGCAAAAGGATAAGAGTTCCCACGCACCTGCCTTCCCTCTTTCACACCATCAAACTTGCATGAGCCAAGCCACACACCACACTGGAAAGCCTCACAGTGCCCTGGAGAAACCTGTGCTACACCAGCTACAGCTGCTCCAGTGAATTTTTGTGCTGTGGGAACATCAGCTGTTTTTCCTCCAATAAATGACAAGAGCAGCCTTAATGTCCTCACAGAGGTGCCATTTGCCCAGCCACTCCTGGAAGGCAGAAAGGCAGGAGAATGCAGAGACCCTGCTCCAGCAGAACTCACCAGTTTCTTGGGGAGGGTCTCATCGCTGTCCAGGGCTCGCCACAGCTTTGGCAAGCAGCTCATGAAGTCCTCGAAGCCTGAGTCCTGGCGGAGCTCATAGAGCAGGGAGGAGTAGCCATGCACAGCGCCGTGGAAACAGGCCACACGGTCCACATCCATGTCATTCTCCCCCGCCGAGATAGAGGCCAGGTCAACAAATACCTTCAGCTCGTTTATGTCTGAAACAACGCAACACAGGAGTGAGCAACATCTGAGGCAGCTTGGACACCAGCCCTCATCACCACACTCCACAGGAAATTCAGGAAGAATGCTTTGAACAGCAGCTTCTTTGTAACTGCCCATCAGCTTTCCCAGGCCATCCAACCATCCATGGACCCCCACAGACCCCCAGATCCCCAGGTAGGATGGGAGTGGTGCCTGGGGGTGTGTGCAGCTGAGGGTGTCTGCGCAGGTCAGACAGCTCAGCTGGCAGGCACACAACACCATCCCCTGAAACAAGAGGTCTGAACTGAGCAGCAGCAGGTGCTGAAGCCCTCCAGGCCCAGCCCAGCCCCCAGCAGGGTGGTTCCTGTGTGCTGCACCAGTGCATGAGCACCTTTAAAGTGTCCTCATAGCACGTTCTACACCAAAGCCCATCAGAGATGTAACTCTCAACACCAGAAGCTGCAAAGGCACAAAGCACATGGGTCAGGGATTCAGTGCTCCGTCTGCCCCCACACAAACTGCCATCCCTTCTAGTACTCTAATTCCTGGGTAGGCAGCACACACCTTTCAGTGCTTCTCTGACCCAGCACACAAATTCCTTCTGCTGGGCGAATTCCTTCAGACAGCTACGGCGGGGCACAGTGATCTCCTGCAGCAGCTTCTTGGTGTCCATGAGCTCATGACTGATGGAATCCAGCTTCTGGGTCTTGTAGGGTTCAAGCTTTTCTGTCTGGAAAGCAAGTGGTGCAAACACACTGGAATTGAGAAATGTCACTGGTTCTGCAGCGGGGAATGGAAAGCCCTCTGCAAAGCCACACCCCAACAGAGCAGTATCATCATCTCTCTTTAAGGAATGACGACACAAAAGCACCTCTTTAAGGAATGATGACACAAAAGCACTTGGAACATCTGAATTTTACCCCAAATAAGCATTTTGGGACAAGGAAGGACTCTTTACAGACTGGGATAGACTTGTGGGAAGGTTCAAATCTAGCCAACACCCTGACAGTAAAGAGCTGAAGTCACAGATACTTACGATATGCAACAAGTTTTTCAGGATACTGAAGTCACCAGAGAGGCCTAAACTCTCTTTCACATGGTCAATGATCTTGGCAGCCTCACAGCTTAAATTCATTCCATGGTACCGCTGGATCTGCTGGACTCGCTCATCAACCCAGCCTCTGTTCTCTGCAGGCCGAAGCTCACAGATGGCGTTCAGCTCTGCTGTGAGACCTTCAGGATCATTTCTGAATCTCTGGAAAATTCTATCAACTGCAAAAAGTGTGAGACTTCCTGATGCGAGTTCATCATACAGCTTTTCATAGCTGTTAAAGCAAGGGCGGATCACGCTGTTCAAAATATCATTAAGGCCCAGCTCAGGAACAATCTCCTCCTCGTCCTCCTCCGAAGAGACATGCTCATACTTCTCTCCTACCTTCTCTACTGCTTCCTCCCAGAACTGCTGGAAGACCAGGCTGTTCTTAAAAAAGTGCATTTTTTGGACAAACTCTTTCAGCTCTGGACTCAGGCTGTAGAAGGTCTGCAGGGGCCTCTTTCCCACCATCACAACTTGTTTCAGTCTTTTTGAGCGAAGATCTACTGAGTGTTGAAATTCCACCTCACCTAAAACCACTGTAAACCAGAGACAGGCCAGAGGGAGATCAGGTGGTGCAAAACCTGGCTCCAGCTCACTTCATCCCATCCCCCAAGCCACAAAATGCTACCAGGCAGGTGGACCCCTCGAAGTGTCATTTAATGTACAAGCACTCACTTGACCCCACCCAGTGCTCTGGGTTTACTTTCCCCATCCCTCGTCACCCTCACTTTGGGGCTTAGAATCAAACCTGTTCCCAAAGCCAAGAGATTTCCAAGGAAAATGCTGTTTTCTGGACTTGCCACTTTCAGACTGCTCCCCCAGAACTCTACCTCTCACAGGCTTCTGCATCCCCCGGCACATTCTCAGGAAGGTTCCTATTTCTTCTTTCTCTTTTCTGAGCTGTGTGACTTCTTTATGCCTCAATTCCAGCACTTCTTTCAGGCCTCTCTGATATTGCTCCTTTTCCTTACTTGGCCATTGCTGGCAATCTGAAAGAAAACTCACCTATAGTCACAAAGCAGACATTTCACAAGCCCTGCATCCCAACTCAGGTTAGGATCTGCAGAGTCACAAACTCTGCAGTGACAACACAAATTGGAGCTGGGAGATCCCTGCCCAGGCCAAGGAACAGCACTCCAAACTACTGCAGCCCCTCCTGAGCATTCCCAGCCCCTGCAGCTCCTCCTTAGCATCCCCAACCCCTGCAGCCCCTCCTGAACAGACCAGCATCACTACAGTGATGCTCTAAGCCAACCATGCCCTTTTGAACCCATCTCTTACTTGTCTCCCAAAGGCAGAGGAACTGTTCCTGGTGCTGAAAAACCTCCTCCAGGTGTTTCACAAGGATGCAGCCGCTGTAGATGTCGTCGGTGACACTTTTAAGCACAGAGTCTGCTACGGCCATGACATTCTTTGCTTCATCTGTGAGCTTGTCCAGAAGGTTTCTGTTTGTTCCTGTTCCAGACACAAAGCATGTCAAGTTTCCCAAAAAGCAGGCAGAATTCAGGAACTTTTCCATGCCCTGGCACGGAGTCCTTCCATTTCCTACTGAACCCCTACCCAAGAGCCTATGGACTCACACCACCCTCCAATCCCTCATGTCTTTCTGAACAAAACCAGGATGCCAGGACAGCAATGTGTAAACTTTCCATGGAGAGCCCAGACCCAAACCCTGTGGGGCAAACAAAAGCCATTTGGATCCGTTCACCTGGCCAACTCTTTGGCATTTCTGTGTGCCAATAACTTGTGAGATCTTCTCGGGGGTGGACATTATGGTCCGCAAATCTGAGGAAGCTGTAGTGGATTAGCACAAGAGGAATAGTGGCTCCCTCTTCTTTGGCCTTCTCTCTCCAAACCCAAGCTGAATAATTCAAGCTTTGAGATAGGGACTAAAACAAGAGCAGGACAATTTCTGTCTGCTGCTCTGTGCAGTGGCAGCAGTGAGGCAGAGAAAAGCTTCTCAGGGCCTCCTAAAACCCAATCAGAGACCTACCATTAAAGCTGAAGATATGTTTGACGTCAGGCCATGTGAGCAGGTGGTGCAGAATTGTATCAAAATCCCCCTCAGACTGCCCAGCCCTGGCTGGCCACGAGTTCACCATGACAGCAGACACAAGTTGGCTGAACTGGCCCATGTCATAGGCAGAGATCTGCTCCAGGAGATTGCTCTGCATCTGCCAGGGCACACAGAGAGGGCAGAGGTGGGTCAGACTCTGGGGTCCCACTGTGTCTGTGCCTCAGAACTGGCACTGATGCCAAGGAGTCACCTCCAGTGCTGAGGAATATTCCAAAGCAGCCTGTGACACAACTGACAACAGAGCTCACTGTGGAAACACATAACAAATATTTCCCACAGACCTAATTTCCTGATTTCTTGTTGATATTTTTTTGTTGTTGGTTTAACAAACAATCCACAGCAACTCAAGCAACGTCCACCTCCCCTTCCGCCACAAGGCACATCCCTGTGCAACAGAATTGCTGTGAAATCCCACTTGTCTTTCTCCTCCCTTCCCTACCTTTCCTTTCCCCTACCAAGGCATACACAATACCTGGCAAGCTGCAGGTACAGCCTCCATGGCACAGCTCTGGAAACACTGGCTGATGGAGGAGTCCTTCTTTGAGATGTCCTGATGCTGAGAACAGTACACCAAGATTTGGTTCACTGGAGGCTCCTGAAGGGCAAAAGGGAGATTTCTCATCAACTCAAAGTGTCTCTCCTAGCAGCATGAAACAGTGATGCTATCAAGACAATAAAAGGAACCTGAGCATCAGCCCATTTCTGAGGGCCTGGGAGAGAGATCAAACAAATAAATGCTTGGAAAATATTTTCATGATTTCCATCTAAAGTGTGTGATTACTTAATATCCACCTCTCCAAGCCAAGCTCACAACAGAAAATATTTGTTTCCTGACTTCACCATGAAAATCAATGGCTTAAGGAAATGTGTAACTGCTGCAGAAAGGAGATGAGGAGATATACAGTGTCAGTTTGGAAGGGACTAACACATGTGAGTGTGCATTTGGAAGCCTGAGCAGCACCATTTCTGCAAAAGGAATGAAAAGAGAGGCACCAACTTGGCTTCTCTGAGCCCCTGGGTGTTTACTTTGCACTTGCTGGTTCTTAAAACCACAGAGGTGACAATTGTTCAGAATGTGGATTTCCTCTGAAGCACCATAACCTGCAGCCAGGCCAATGACCAAGATTACAGTGTGAGACATTGTCATGGCCAATTGCTGAGCCTCCATATAACGTGGTTCATAACAGCAATAGCAATTGTTATGGCCAAAGCCACTGTGTTTGCACGTGCTCCTGCTCCAAGCACAGCACAAGTGTGGCAGTACCAGTTGTGGGTTTCTCTGGGTCTGGATTGAAGGCACTTGAGATGGTAGTTTCATGTTCGGACTCAGGTGTTTATTATTTCTTACCTGTAAAACAGTCTCACTACTGTGAGTTTGTTGGCCATTTTGTGTCTTCTTATGAAAAGCTGCCCATCTCTTGTTACAAGGTCTTTTAAGACTAAACTATCCAATTAAGAACTGACACCTAGTTTATTTTCCCTTTTAACCCAATAACTGATCCCAAAGAGCCCACAATACGAACTTTCTGCCCAGTTACAAAATGCCACCCAAACCCATGAAGAAGAAGGAAGAAGAAGCATGAAGAAGAAACCCAGGATGACACCCTGTGCCCTCCATATTGCTTCCATCCACAACATACCAAAAATCCCAAAACCTAAATTTCTCAACAAATGATACACCTAGACTACTCTCTAAAATCTATTTCCCACTTTTGAGGATTCTAGTCTATCTTGAAGTCTAGGAAACTTTCTCCATGAATGAGGGTCAAAGTCAGTGCTCCCCTGGGGGTCAGGACACCCAAGAGCACTATTCCTGGTGCCCTGGGTTCCCACAAACAAGTCACTCCACCTGCTCTGGACATCAGCCAAGGCTGCCTAAAGTCTCCCCTACCTGCTGGATTCTTTTCTTCAGATCTGCAAGTAAAGCATTCCTCCATTTCTGGGTGAAGTTCTTATCTGGAAAGCTGATTTTCACAAACGCATCCCAGACCTGCAGGGGACAAGCAAACCAACCCAAACCATGGAGTGCTGAGATTTAATAGGAAAATTAAAAGAAAGGAAAATAAACGAAAGGAAATTAAAAGAACAATGTAGAAGAGATGGCCCACACGCCTCAGACAGTCTGCAGTCCTTTCAGATGTTTTCATTCTGAGGAAAAGGAACACTCCCAGAGCTGCAAAAGGCAGCTTTTAAGCCCAAACAGTGCGTAAATGTCTCAGCTGCTGAAGGAGATATTTGGATGAGCCACTTTCACCCTGCTGCTGGAAACTGTCCCAGGGAGGGCCAGGAACAGCAGCCCAGACTGGCAGGGCTGCTCTGAGCTTTACCTGCTGGAAGGCCTGAGGACAACCTGGTGTTATTTTTCTCCCAGTGTGTCCCAGTGGGACACACTGGGAGCAAGACAACACCAAGGGGCAGCTCCTCACCCCAGCAATGCCTTTAGAAACAGCCAAGGAGGAGCAGAATGGAGGTGTGTTTCAAACACTGCCCATCCCCACCCCATTCCTTACCCCACAGCTACAGAGCCCAGCAAAGAACCAGCAGACTCAAGACCCTGGCTAAGCTAGAGTAAAATCCCTTTTTACTGACATTATCAGAAGATGACAAACCTCAGGTTCAGAGGAGAAAGAAATCACGTGTTCTGGGTACTTCTCCAGTAACTTGTGATGTAAAACCTTTCCGAACCAGGCACGAGTTTCCTTCAGAGCTCCACTGAGCAACTCTTCCATTGGAACTTCCTCCACTGCATCCCCTGAAACCTGCCCCACACGGAGAGGAAGACAACAAAATAAACACAGCTAAAGCAGGACAGCAATAGACAACTGATTTAAATCAGTATTTCTAAAGAGAAGACCAAAAGCATCCAGAACACACAAGAGCCCAGCAACACACCCAGCATTACTTGAATAAAGAGCAGAGAGAGGCTGGGAAAGTACAGTGCTTACAGGCAGTAAACTTAAGCTTCTTCCAGGAAGTAAAGAGAACAAATGTTTAAGGGGAAACAAAACCCAACTTAAAACAAAGCTTATCACAGCAAACCTGAGCATCTGACCTTATTTTCAATAAGAACCAAACTCATCAGGTGACTCCACACCTGTCTGAAAGTATCACAGTCTTGCTTAGAGTGTCAAGTTCTTCAAACAGAGACTAGATCTGACCTAAACCCAGTGTGCTGTGCCACACTTGTAATATTTCTGGGTACCTTGCTTGTATCAAGCCAAGAGTTCCTTGGTACTCACTGCTGGGGGCTGAAGCTGAGCAACCTTGGCAATCAGGGTGGCAGCAGTGGCAGGGATCAGGAACAACCCCACTGTCCTGGTAGCCTTGCAGAGCCTCTCGTGCAGCCTGAGGCAGCAGGACACACAGCACTGCCAAGAAGGAACCCCCAGAGCTCTGCAGGGCAGCAACACAGAGGGAGAGTGAATTTTCTGCTCCAAGGAAAAATAAAAAATTAAAAACAAAGTAAAAACCCCACCAAATTCAATACAGTGTGGCAGCTACCTCCCTCAGATGGATTTAAAAGATGGGATAGAACTCCAGGATTCTTTTCTCTAAAGAGATTTCAATGTACACAGGCAGGACCCCAGCCCTGGTGCAGAGGCAGACAATGCTCTCACAGAGGTGCACTGCACTTACCTGGCTGGGGGCTCACCCAAGGCATACAGCACTGTGTTTAGAATCTTCACTACCTCCTGAGACCAGAAAGACAAAAAAATGAAACTGTGAAAGAAATTTTACAGACTGATTTCTGATTAGCTGAGGAGGAGGGAAGTCAGTATCCTTTTGCATCTTTGCCAACATTTTTACAAATACACTGTAAAATAGCAGAACTTATTTACTGGATGTCAGAGCCAATACCTGGGCAGCTTTTATATGCACAAACCCAACCTGGACTTCTTACAATTTCTATTATTAGTTGCAAGGTCCTACTCCTGCTGTCCTCACACCAATACAAAACTTTTCACCACAGCAGGAAATTTCCCAAACCAGCAGCCCCCTGCCCAACTCTCCTGTGCAAAAAAACCAGTTTCGGGTACACGTCTGAGGAGGTCAGGATTAAAGCATCTGCCATCGCTCACCAAGAGCAAATCCAGCTACAAATACCCTCCTCTCATCAATACCAACACCACTTTTTGCTGCAGATAACCCCCAACTCTCCCCCTGAGGAGTCTCTGACTTCAGAGCAACTATTTTTGCTCTTATCTAGGTTTGAAGCTCTTTGTGCCATGACCTGCTGCCAGCCCCAGTCCCCTCAGTGATGGTCAGTTCTGCCAAAAGACACCCAGGAGCCCAGTTTGAGCCTCCATCCCAGAGCTGGGTAAAGCTGCCAGATGACAAACCTGAGAGCTATCCCTTGAGAGCCCAACATTCTCCAATCTGTACAAAACACCTTGAAGAATAACTAGCGGGTCATTGCAGAAGTCTTTTATGAAGTCATCCAGGCTCCACAGGGGCAGCACACAGAGCCAGGACTTGACCACAGTCCCATCTAATTCCACCAAGTATTTCTTTTCTCTCATTCGTGCCAGCAGGGTCCCTCTGGAAGGGAGACAAAAGAAAATCTTCAGCATTCCAGGGAACAAAAGGCTGTGAGCTTGTGCAACCCACAGAGGAGTCTCCTCCATTCCTGTGCGTTTGTCCCTGCAGCTGAGATCAGTGGGAGTCCCCAAGGCCCTGGGGTGGCACAGCAGAACCAAACCACTGAGCACAAGCACTCAGGGAAAATAAACTCCAGGTGTTGCTCAGACTCTACACAACAGGAGCAGCTTTAGCTCCCACCTGCTCCCTGGCTGGCAGAACTGGGGGGTTGTGTTTGTGGGGGTCACACAGTGCCCAAGTGGGCTACACTCAGTGATCTCTGAGCCACCAGTGTGGCTGTGCCCAAACACCCCAAGCATCCTCCCTTAACATGCTACATTTCATACTCCTTAAAAATGAGGGAGGGGAAAAACAAAAAGAGAGATGAGGAGGGAACTGGGAGCTCTGGAAAACTCACCTATCTTGCTTCCTCCTGGTTTCAGCAAATGGAAGCCCTTCCAGCCCTGCCCAGGCATCCTCCTCCACCAGCCCATGCTCCTGCTGCAGGGGAGCAGCAAAGGAGTGCAGAAGGGGAAGGACCCACACCCACTGGTCTACGTCACGTTCAATGCACCTCTGGCAAAGGTCTGTCAGGTCAGCCTTCAAGCTTAATAAAAAAGAAAACAAAACAAAGACACTGAATGAAAGAACAGCTTTATCCTGGCCTTGAGAACGAAATGTAGCCTCCCACACGCCTAGGGCAATCTCCCTATGCACCTTCAATTAACCTCTGGTCATTATTTTAGCTCCATCTACTCTTCATTGCAGATTGTACCTGTCCAGGTTTAAGGCCCAGAGCTGCAATGTTACTGAATCTTTCTGCACAGATCCTGCTGCTGGAGCACTGGGAAGACCCAATCCTTTACCTGCAGTCTCCCCATGAGCCCCCCCAGCCCTGTGACACCCACACAGAGAAGGACTCCAGAAAGAAATGCAATGGCTGCAGCCGTGTGAGTGAAGAACTCCAAATCCAGTGCCAGCTAAGCAGTCAGATTACAACCTGGCAAACAGGCATTCCAGGGGAAACCAAACAAAAAGCATTGAATGACACACTGCAACCTTGCCTGGATGTTAGCCCTGCTTCAAGCAGGAGGCTGGAACTGAGATCTCCAAAGATACCTCCAAATGTAACTTTTTCTCTGGTTCTCTAGCAGTAGAGAGCTGGATTCCTGTTGCTTTATCAAAGCAACACCAGCCTGGTCAGTTAGAAGGTACATGGAGCACTTACTTGGAAACTCCTGCAAAAGCCTGTTTGATGTGATCAGTCTCATTCTGTACATCTTGTGGTGACATCTGATCCAAGCACAGGAGGCTGCACAGGTCAGCCAGGTCACATTTAGGTACTGAGACTGAACAGTTCTCAACTACCACAAGAATGGTGAGTCCCACAGCCAATTTATTTTGGATGACTCTGTCAACAGGGCTGCCTGCCAGGAATGCTGGGCCATAGGACAGCAGGGAACACCCCAAGGTCCAGGTCCAGCCAACAGAGCTCACCTCCATTTTTGAGGAGTCTACTGTTTATCAATAAGCAGCGATTCACAGGATTATTGGATACTGATTTCTTGTAAATGAACTCATAATCCCCCTTCACCCAGTACTTGTAAGGAATATATTTATCCAGGATTTTTCTGCTGAGAGTTACAACACCTTCAATGAGGCATCCATGTTCTCCCAGACACCTTGGAAACACAAACACAGCAAAGGCAGGCAAAGGACACGTTAGCTGATCTACCGACCTCCTTTTCCATGCATTGCTCCATTTTTAACAGGAATGGTGACTGTTCTTTCACAAGAACACTTTAGAACAGTTTTCTCCACTGTGAAACCCTTTGCTGCAACCCCCAGCTGTGGGAGAAGAGCCACCCCTTGCACAGTGATTGAGGCCCCAGAGGGACCCTGTTCTCAGAGCAGGGAACACTCACCGGATGCAGTTCAACTCACAGATGTTGTCCTTCCAGTCAGCGTAGGAAGGAATGTCCTGAGCCCTGATGAACACTTTATGGGTATCGCGGTGGAGCTTGAACTCTTTGGATAATATTGCATGGAAATGCACTGTAACACCCTCATTGCGGCTCACAGAACTGCAGGAAAGAATTGGAAGGGAAATAGAAGAGATTTTGTCCGGGTTTTTTAATTGCACAAGTCACTAGACCTCAAATCAGACTCTATTTGAGACCAGCCGAGTGGCTGCAAGATCCATAAACTCTGGTAGCAGTTCACTCAGACTGATGTTTGAGCAGGCCTAGTGCAAAGCCCAGTGCAAAAAGGAAAAATGGGCTCCTAAAGGCAGCAGGAGATGCTCTGGCCCAGCAGAGTCACCTGGAATGGCCACACTTTCCACCCCTTCCAGCTCATACACATTAAGCAGAACATCAAAACAGCTCTTCACACTATTCACCTGAAGCATTGTGTGTGTGAAGCATATGGTGCTCTTTAGAGCAAGAAATAAGAGAATAATCTCTTTTTTATCCATCAGATGCTCAAGCAGGTTCAACACATCACCTAGGACAGCACAGGACATGCAACACTGGTTCTGTTGTGCACAACCACCTCACCTCAGTTTCAAGACAACTCCATTTCCACATGGCCAAGGTACATACTGACCCAATCCCAGCACCTCAGTTTGGAGTCCTGAGTCCTCCTCAAAGCAACTCCTGTTAGTGAAGAACGCTGGGAGCAGTAGGGCTGTTCTCACCTTTCTTTAACCTTTTCCACAGGTTTCTGGTTCCTTTGTTCCTTTTTGTTCTTGGGGCTGTCTGCTGCAGCCACAGCACTCTCCTTTCTGGCAGCCTCTGCTCCTTGGCTCCAACTTGTCTTCTCACTCATGTTGGGCATTTTCGCATGTGGGGTTAGATTTTTCTCTTTTGTGTTTGCATGCTGCAACAGGGAGACAAACAATGCCCAATGAAACAGGAGACCCTGGAAGCAAGTGCGTTGGCAATTGAAAGATGGCAAGAAGCCATTTATTGTTTCTACAATTCCATTTATATACTCTTACAGCATTACGTAAAATTTTTCACTGCTAAGCAATAACCACATTATTCACATTTCTTAGCTACACTGCTTAACCACAGTCTTGTACCTGCAGTCTTGTATGACTTCCTTTAAACAAAGCACATTTCCTTTTTGTTTCCTCCCTTACATTTCTGTTTGATGTTCCCAGGGCTTCTGGCTCACCAGAGTCAAGATGTCCACACCACCCATCAGCTGGGCAGTACTTTCTGCTCTTCTGCCCATCTGCCCCCCAGCACTGGTGCACCACCAGCTTCATCCTCCTGGAAGCACTGATCCCTCAGTGAGGGAAGCCACTGGCTAAGGAAAACAGCCCATGAGGGAAGAGGATCCCAACCCAAACATACTGCCACACAGTCAGCTCAGTGAGCCCCAGGATGGGGCATAAAGAAAGTGAAAGAGAAACCACAGCAACTTCCAGTTTACCAGGCCTGTGTATGAACAGAGCACAGGCACCTGCAAAACACAAAATCCTCTCATTCAAGGAGATCCCAGAGCTCTCTAGAGAGCAAGGCTGGGTGGAGAAGAGACACCTGCCAGTCCTGGGGGCCTTTGAGCCACCCCTCAGTGAAAGCTGGGCTAGAACTGACACCCAGGAAAACAGAATTCAAATTAGAGCCTCCCCACAGTCGTCCCCAATTCACCCCTGCATGCCTGGGCTGGTGCTCCTCAGCCTCACTGACAGCACAATCAAGTCACACTGACAAAGGGAAGCTGTGCCCACTGGAACACTCACCAGAGCTCACTCACACTCACCTTGACAGTGGAACTGGCCCCTTTCTGCTTGGGCTCCTTCCCAGCCTGCAGGCTCTGAGCCCCAGGGGAGGTCTTGGTCTCAGGCTTGCTTTGGGGGGCTCCCTTGGCAGGAGGCAGCCCAGAGGGACTCGCTTCCTGCCCTGCTGGCAGCAGCTCCTTGCTGCTGCCCCAGGCCTGGGAACCTGCTGTGGCTGCTGGCAGCTGGTCAGGGGCACTTCTGCCCCATTCCACATTACCCCTGGCTGTTCCATCCCCCACCTTGTCCCCTGGGACTGCGGCCCTGGAAACTGGGGCAGCCACCCTGGCTGTGCTGCCCTGCTCTGTAAGGCTCAGCCTTTCTTCTTCTGGGCTGCCAACTTCCTTCCCCAGGTGTGTCAAATTCCTGTTGCCTTCAGGTGCATCTCCACTGGCACCTGGGTTTGCTCCCTCACAGCCAGGGGGTTGGATTTCCTGAGGAGAAACACATGTGTCAGGCAACTCTGCGGTTTGATGAGGCAGAGTGTCCTGTTCCCCAGAGAAGGACGTATATTTCTTTGCTTCACTCTTGTTCTCTTTCTATTAAAAAAAAGAAAAACAAAGACCACAATGTCTGTTTATTCATGGCCAAAGGGAAACTCTTTGTCACCTCCTCCACTGCAGCAAGTACCGACATCTTCCTGCTACACAGGGCTAACAGAGAACGATCAGGAAGAGGAGGGACAAGACCAGCGAGTGAAATGCAAATAAGTCTTGAGAACTATGTAGGTTTAATATTCAAGACTTGCCCAGCAGGAGCACAGAGCAGTGCAGCAGTGTCTAAGTTGACTCATGCAACTTGTGGTTTCCCTCTCCCAGCACCGCAGCTCCACACACACAACACAGCGTCAGCAAACACAGCAAGCTTCTCCTGGAGGAAGCCAGGCAGCAGCTCCCCGACATGGCCAAAGGGATGTGGGGGATGCAGCCTGGCCTCCTCACTTCTAGCAAGAGAGCAACAAGTCACAGCTGCTCCCCAGCACCCAGCAGGATCCACACCTTCTTTAGCAGAGGAACCACCTCAGCAGAGTCGCCAGCCCCACGCTGAGCTGAGGGCTCTGCATTGTCCTCTGAAGCTGTGACATACTCCTCTTCCTCCTCCCATGTCTCAGTGAGGGGCAACTCCTGCCCCAGTCTGGCAGCAGAGCAGATCTCTGCCTTCTGCAGGGGTTTCACAGGCTCCTCCACACTGCCTCCATCCCAATTCTGAGAGCAAAAGTTTTGAACCTCAGCTACTTTGGATGTTCCTCCTACAGCATTCCACAGCTGGAGATCCCAGGTTTGTAACCCTGCCATGCTGGAGTGCAGATCAATTTGCTAAGAACTGACCCTGTTGTGACTGCAGCAGCTTGATTCTGATTTAGTGTGTTTTTCTAGGATCACATTCTATCTGTCAACAAACCAAAAGCCATTCTGGTGGACCAGGTCATCCGGTCTTAAACAAGAAAAGGATTAGGAAACATTTCCCCCAGCATAACTGTGTTGTGCACTCGATTCTGTCTCTGTTCAGAGAGGCAGAATTAGCGTGTTGTCAAATACAGCTCAGGGATGAGTTGTAAATCTAACAAGCTGCAAATCAGAAAATCTAACAAGCTGCAAATCAAAAAAAAGAAGGACAGTCTTTTAACATAAAATACAGCACTACTTCATTAGCAAAACAGAAACTAGTTCAACAGTGGAGACTTGAGTGTGGAGACTGTGTAGGATGTGTCACCAACTCAATCACTTCTCTGTCTCCCGACACTCACCGCAAAGTGAAGAAAACTGTCTCAGGTCAGGAATGCCAGAGGAGGCTGAGATGAGCGATTGGGATGGGAGTTTGGGACAAGAGCAGTGTGGAATGAGCTGGGCAGAACAGAGCCCGGAGCCACACGGGCACCAGAGGTGGCACAGGCAGCCTCTGCCCAGTGCACAGCCCCAGGGCGGCCCGGCCCGGCCGAGCCCCGGGGCCCAGCGCGGCCTCACAGCCAAGGGGGACAGACAGGGCCGCGGCAGAGACACAAACACCAGCACAGCGTGAGGCAACACAGCCGTGTCACGTCCTCCTCTGCCGGTTTTATTGTCAGGAAGCGACCTGCGACACTGGAGAGCCGGGCTGGGAGCATGAGGGGAACCGCAGCGCTTAAAGGCAAACAAACACCAACAGCGAGCGCTCCCCCGCGCTCTCCTTCCCGAAGCCCTGCCTGGGGCTGCTCCGCCGGGCTGGGCCGCGGCCGGGAGCCTTGCTCCAGCGGCGGGGCCGGGCGGGAGCGGGGCCGGGAGCAGGACGGGGGCTGAGCCGTGGCCAGGAGCGGGTCCTGGGGCTGGGCCGCAGCAGAGAGCGGACACCGGGCGGGTCCCGTGGCCAAGCCCTGCCCGTGGCTCGCTGCCCGGCTCAGCCCCGCCCGGGGCGGCGCTGCCCCGTGGCCCTGTATGCAAGCGATACCGCTATGTGATGAGCGGGGCTAGCGCAGCTGCCGGGGGACCCCGGGGGTGGGGGAAGGGACGGAGAGGACCAGAAGGCCCGGGGGGGGACACGAAGAGAGCGCGGGGACGGGAGGACATGGGGGAGGGACACGGGGGGCTACACGGGATAGGGGCGTCCCGAGTGGACGGGGAGGAGATGGGAGTCTCCGGGGACGCAGGTGCACCGGGGAAATCGAGGCGCACGGAGGCGCTTCGGGGGCACCGCGAGGGTGCAGCGGGGCCCGCAGCCGGGCTGCCCCCGCCCCGCCCCGTCCGCACCGGAGCCCCGAAGCCCAGGCCCGGCGCCCCGTGCCGCCGCTCGCCGGCCCGGCAGCGCGACTCACCGAGTGACCGGGCACGGGTACGGGCACCACCACCTGCAGCGCCCGCTCGTCCCGCCGCTCCGCCGACTCCCGCCCGGACAAGTTGCGTTTCTCCGACGAGCTGCCAACTTTCGTTTTCACAGGAACGGTCCCCACCCAGCCCCAGACCACCCCGGCCAACCCCGGCCCCGGCCGCCCCACCGCTCCCGGCCGGGGTCCCTCCCCGGTACCCCCCGAGCATCCCATCAGCCTGGTGCAGGAACCCCGGCCCTCGCAGGGGCGCAGGCAGCAGCGGCGAGGGCAGGTGTGTTGGAGAAGAGCCCTTTGTGCTGGTCCCGACAACCAAAAGCGGATTCCGCAGTCAAAAGTGGGGGCACAGCTGGTGCCCCATCCCGGATCCGACCGGTACCGAGACGAATACGGGCTCCCAGCAGCCCTGCCCTCCACCAGTGCTCACACAGGTTTGAGCACACACATATTCCTAAACAACCAGTCCATTTTAACCCCGTGCCCCGCTTTTCCCCCTTCCGGCATACCACCGCTCAGTGCACTCCAGGGCAGGACCCAGAATCCCGGCAGGTGTGTGGCTCCCGGGCACCTGTGCCGCCCTTCCAGCACCTCCGGCAGCAGCAGCTGTGCAGAACGTGCCCTCGGGCTAGGCTCACTCGCACTGCCCCAGCTCGCTTTCGGTTTCTTTTCCACAGCACACGCAGCAGCACTCAAAAGATAACTCCCCTTCCCACAAAAAGTAAAAAGCTTTTCCTCAGGATGGCAGAGATCATATTGACTCATTAGCAGTTTCTGGTTTATTACACCCTCGATGTCCCAAGGACTGTTCAGGGAAACTGAATTCACCATCCTCTCCAGCCCCACCAGGTGCTGTCCCCATCGCACAGCCTGGTGGCACCGTGCCTGTCCCCTCGGCAGGGCCCAGGCCAGGGGCTGCACCCCAGGGTGACAGCTCATCCCTGACCCATGGCAGTGTTTGACACAACACCCCACAGACAAGATAAGAAAGGTAGGGATAAATAAGGATAAAAATCAGTAACCCATACAATCCCAGATGTTTTCCCTCTCCTCAGCTGGAAGCTGAGCCCCTGTGTCTGCTTGGAGGGCAGCACAGCAGCCCTGAAATGGCTTTGAGAGCTCACCAAGCGTCACCACTGGAGCAGCCCAGAACACGAAAAAGATCCAGAATTAAATAGTTGTTTAAAAAATGTCAGCAGCTCTCTGTAGGAAGGATGGCTTTGCATTGGTCACTGTGACAAGGAACAGTTTTGTCCCACTGTTGGGCTGGCACTGCTCTGTCCATCTTGGTGTGGGACATGGGACAGTTCATCCCCATACCTGGGATGGGGCAGTGGCTCTCACGGAGTGTGTTGGTGTCACTGGGGTGGCACAGGACATTCAGCCCAAACTGGTCTCACTGGATGAGCCCAGTGCTCTCAGCAGTGCTGGCAAAGGGCTCTGCCCTGCTGCCCCGCAGCTCTGCTCCCCTGCACTGCTCTGGGACAGGAGGGGAGAAGCAGAGTCAAATCAAGGCTCATGTCCTGGCTCTGCCTAGGACAGAGGAAGTTTTCTTCCCAGGAGTGGGTTCAGAGCTGTGTTTGAGTTCAGGATGAGGCTGCTGTTGATAACAGTGTAATATATGAATTGGAATAATTCGTGCTTATGTGAAATATATGAGAAATATAAGAGAAAGAAGTTGTGCTTGTAAGATGCTTGTAAGAAATACAAGTTTTAAATCCACATGCCAGAGCTGGGGAGATTGCTTGACAAAATTGTGAAACCACAGGTGGCGTGCAGTCCAATGCCAGGTTCCTGTAACTTGACATCAGCATTCGTGCATTCCAATGCCGGGTTCCTGTAACTTGGCGTCAGCATTCATCACTTACTGGAAACTGTTTTGTCCAGCCCGACGCAGAGAAAGGAGACTACAAGAATATGTGAAGCCATGAAAAGAAGAGACTCTGCCCCAGGCTGAATAAACTGTATAAAAACCACCTGGACAGGGACAGCCTTCATGAACAGAGGGGATCCAAAGCAGTAGAGTTCAGATCAGAGTTCACCCAGCGCCGATCCTGGGCTCAACACTGTCCCTTTGATTGTGCCTATCAGAGACCATACCTCGGTTGTGAAATAAAATCTATTTTTATTAATTACTAATTTGGCTTTATCGATTATTACCAATAACAACAGCCAGATGGCTCAGCTGCTGCTGAGCAGTGCTTACACTATGCTCCCGTGCCTCCTCCCAGCTGGGGAAATGGTGGAATCCTTCTAAGTCTGTAGACAGGAGGACCTGGAGAACTCTCCTGAGGGTAGAGCAATCTGGGTTTGGGAAGTTCTGGTCACTTCCCATCCCCCTGGCGCAGAGCCCCCAGCCCTTCCCAGCGCCCGCAGCCTCCAGCTCTGGGAGATGAAGGTGCTTGGGATGGTGATGGTGTCACCAGAGAGGCCAGCACAGAGTCCATCATCCACACCCTCCCTGGGCCCAGGGTGGCGTATCCAAGGTCCCACACACCTGCAGGCCATAGAAAGCCAGTGAGAGGCTGTGCCTGCACAGCTCCTGCAGCAGCTCTCCCAGCCCCAGTACCGCTGTGTAATCAATGCTGCTGCTGTGACAACAGTCCAGCACCACAGAGTGTGGTGGAGATGCTGCTGGAAGAGCATAAGGGCATGTCCCAACAATGTAGCAGGCCCAGGGACTGCAATGGCTCCTTGGTGGTAAGAAACTTCAGATAGGAAATGCTAAGCCATGATGACTGGCCCTTAGAAGCCCCTCTCTTCCGCCTTCGGATGCTTGCTTATCTCTCTGTAAGCCTATAGGTCACTTTCCCTTGACCCTTACTATTAGACAATTTCCAAAACCCTGTAAGGTATATAAACCCCTACTTCTGCCCAGTTTGGCAGAAGAGCTGCCACTGAGAACCTTCATAAAAGCCCCCAATAAAGAATTCCTGCAGAACTGCATAGAGCGCTTCTCCTCTCTCTCCCTGTGTCTGCTGCAGCACCTTGTAAGCTAAAGAGCTGAAATCACAAAGAGCTGATAATCACTAAGAGCTGAAACTACTTAAGCTTGCTAAGGTTGCCTGCAGCTGGGAGCTGCTTGGGAATTCGGACACTGTGCTGAGCCCCACTGAGTTATCCTGGCCAAGGCAGCCAGGGCATAGCCCAGCTGTAATACAGTACACTGAATTAGTGCAATACAAAAGATCTGAGTGTTTACAAAAAAATTGTGGTATGCAAAAGGAGAAAGGTCACACACTTATTCAGGGTCCATGGTACATTAAGAACCCATTAATTACAGAGAAGAACGGATTTCTGGCCTCAGAAAAACCTCAAAAAAAGAGTGTATTTGGATTGAGAACTTTGATTAACTCTTAACTGCTGTCCTTAACCACAAGCCATGATAAGTGTCCCCTGAAGTTGGAGGGGTGCTCACAAGTGCTGCACATTTTTGTAGTTCAGACAGCCAGCACCCAGAGGCACATGCCCATGGACACGCTCCAGCACCATGGCATCTGGTGAGGAATGCTCAATTCTGTTTGGAGCAGCAAAATGTACACTTATGCATCTGAGGGAAGACACTGTGGATTCTCTTATCCACATACAGCGTAGCAGTAATTCAGTCGTTTCATGGATACTCGTCTTAAGATCTTGTAAGATACATGAAGTAATACTAAGAAGATAGTTGAAGATGCCTATGTGTTTTCAATAAAAGTTTCTGATGGTGGATAACAAAATAATTCAGGGAGCTCCAAAACATTCTGTGCTTCAATAGATTGGCAGAGATCATAGATTTTTCCAGCTTTCCAGAAAAGGGAGTGAGACAAACACAGACACAGAAAAACCTGGTCAAATATCATTAGCAAAGGCAATAACCAGAAACAAACCTGGCCAGTCACACTAGGGGATAGGATATTAAGAAACTGCAACAGCCTGAGGCTTTGCAAAGAATAAGAATAAAAAGCTGAGGGTTTGGTTTTTCAGGCAGTCAGGAATCAATTAAAAATATTTCTTTATTAGATTTGTGCTTGAAAAATCACATGCAGACTGAAGATCATTTCATCTTGCCTCAGAAGTTAGTGAATATAATGCAGAAACAAACAATATAATAGATTTATAGAACTCAAACTCAGAAAATACTTTGGTTATATAATTTAATCTTGTGTACTTTATAGGTCAAAGGCTAAAATCTGTGTGAAGGCAATATAACAATGTTTTCTTAAAACATATCACCCAAGCAATATCCAGCTGTGGTTTAAACATTTCAAGCAGCAGAGAGAATCCACCAAATCCATTATGGTGGTTATTCTATGACTAATTTAAATGCTAAAAATGCCTCATTTCTAAGCTGAAAGTATTCCTCTAGGGTTTTTTTTCTTCCACATTCAAAAAAACCCAGTCTATCAGCATATTGGTTACATTAAAAAAATCATGAATACATTAAATACTGCCATATCAAAGTATGCAGTGAATAATGGTAGGCAAAATGAAAAAGAAATATACTTTTTCCAAATAGAATATATACACACGACTATCAATTGATACAGTGAGCTAGGTAGTAATCCAGCATCTGAGTCATCAAAATCTATCCATCACTTTTGATTTGCAGTCAGGGTGTAAAGGAATGATCAAATTGAGCTTTCTCTTGAGAAGTGATTCTCAGCAATCTCTTCTAAGTATGTTTATGCAATGTAGCAGCAGAACAGCATTAGATTTGTGCTTCCCAGTCATATTAACATGAGGAAGATGCTTTGTTTTCCCCCATCTCCAACCTGTGGACTCCTTGGGGTTGTGCGCATGGCTACAACCAAAGAACATCTTGGAGGATCAGCCATTACATTGGGAAGCTTAGTGCCCTTAAAGAAGGAAAGTATTTAAATGCAAAGTTAATTCACCTGCAGGCTGCTTCATCTGACTAACAGCTCACATTTAGGACTGACTTAGGTACGGTACAACAAGTAACCACTGAATGTAGTTACAGGTGGATACTTGGCTGGTATAGAGCCAGTTGCCAGCCTGAGCCAGACTTCCTGACCGTAGTTTAACTCTAATAAAGCATTTCCAGTAATTACTCTGTCCGTGTACTTGCTGTTATTAATATTTTCAGCCTGAAAGGTGAGTTTGTCTATTCCATCAATGACCAGATAGCCAGAGGCACGTGGGCTGAATGATTCAATGGTATATTCAAAAACATAGACCCCCAGGTATGGAACATGGAACTTGCCAGTTGCTGGGGCAAATGAGGCGCCGTAGTTGACATCCAGATTGTTAAATCTGATGGGTCCTGGAGTTGTCATTCCATATGTATGAGAAGCAAAAAAAGCCACCATAGGTGCATATCTGTATGATCCTTTTGAAAAATCTGGAAAGGAATAAAGAAAAAATTTTGAGTGGTGTTACATTGTAGAAAGGCAACTTGGACCAGCCAGAAGACCAAATGCAGATTTGCTGATGTCACTTCATCCTGTGGGTGACAGAACTTGAGCAACTGAAACACAATATTCCTGCATAAACACATCATCTTATATAAAAAGTAATTTTCTTCACAATTAGTGCTAGGTGAATCCACCAAGAAAAATTTAGGAAGAGCAAGGGAACTTTGTGTTTATCTGTACTATGTTATCATTAAGGGAGCTTTCTTTCCAACTTACACCCCCACTCCTAGTCTTCCCACTCCAGGATCTCTTTCACTGTTCAGTGAGCTGAAGCCAAGAATTTCGGCACAAATCTTAGACAAACAGCAAGGAGGTTTAGCATTCATGATGTTAAATGAAGGGATAAAAGTATATGGGTTTCTCTTCAAGCTGAGCCTGTATACCATCATTCCCTGCTTCTGTACAAATGATTTCATTCACTATTCATATGTTGTAATGAGTAAAAATCAGCCAAATGACTGCTGAAAAAAAATCACATTCCATGTGGCCTGGGTGTAAATTATTTATATGTATTTATAAGCATAATTTTCACTTTTTTTTCCTTATGGAATCTATCAAGGGGCTGCATCCTTTGTTGATGAAAGCCAGAGGCAGGCCTAAAATGACTCCTTGAGGGCACAGTCCCACACCTTCTGGTAGGCATTGGTATTTATGGAACATTTATGGCTGCATTGAAGATAGTATTTCCCAGTGATTTCGTGATTTCACCTCCCCCTTCAAAATCCATGACATTGTGTTCAAATACATCTACTGCACATCCTCCCACTCTGCCCATTTCATCAGGGAGCTTTCCAGCTATTATGACAGGTCCCAAACCAATTTAATCCCATCACCTGGTCATATTAAGAAAAGAGATCACGAGTCACCCCTCCATTGATCATTGAGAAATGCTGTCTCTAGAATGGGAAGAGATAAAGAACTAAAGTGGAAAGGAAGGAAAAAGGCATGGAAAGGGAAAAGGAAACTGCCCTGGCCTTAGGACATGAACAAGAGTAATAGCTCTTACTATCTCTACATCTGCTTGCAATAAGGACCAAATATTGGTTTAGAAATGTTCTTAAGTTTAGGAGCATTTTACAGAAAATATTCAAGTCTGAATCTTCAAGAGTATCTGGACATGACTCTCTTATTAAGAAATCTTAATTTTAATGTGAATTAGAGTCATCTCAGTATTTCGAGTCACTCATCCACTCTTCATTTTCTGTATTGTGCCAGAAATTATATTTCCATAAAACATTATCTTGTGCTTGTGATTTTCACTCAAGTATGATTGCAGAAGTCACAACTCAAGAGTTTGTACTCCTGTGAATTCATTCATAACTAATTTCACATGATGGCATTTGAATTTATGTTCAGAAGCAGATCACACTCAAAATTGCCTTTTTAAGAATGGCAGCTCCTGCTTAGCTGAGCTGCTCTCCAGATGGACTGCAGCCAAATTTACTTCATTGGCTGGATTCCTGCTTTTTCAGGAACACACTGAAACTGCACTTCTCAATGAAGTCCTGAAGGAGCCAGCAAAAGCCTCATTACAGTCATTTTTGTTCACTTGCTCCAGGTTTTTGATACCTATCATCCCTGCTGACACTGCAACTCTGTATTGCTCTCCCAGCTTGCATACATTTTTTTCTACTGAAATTGCTAATTGAGATGCAGGCATAAAATTCCTATTCTTTAGGTTTTGTCTAAACTGTCAGTAACTTTTCAAAGGTCAGGTTCTCAGCTGAGTTTATGTGCATGTGTATGTATCTTAAATTGATCAGATGGGGACCTATTAAGGAAAGTTAAATTGAGTGCAAAATCTCATAAGCAAAATAAATTCTATTGCAAGCAAGAGACTAATCTCAGGATCTTCTGAAATACTCTGCACAGCAGTCTTTAGATTTTTCTTTACTCTCAGTCAAGTTCTGCCACTCAGTTCATCACAATGGTTACATCATCTTTATAAAACATACCTTGATTTTTAGCAGAGTAAAATGCATTACCTGGATCTATTGCATTATCCGTGTTTCTCTGGCTTCGGCTTGCCAGGCTCATGGTGACATTTCCTCCCACTGTTTTTGCTGGAGAGGGTTTCTTTATAACTGATTTCAGCTGCTTGTGAAGTTTGATGATGTTGTTCATTGCATTTACCATGGATATGTCAACATGCTGGGTTAAATTTGTCAAAATAGTTCCTGCTTTTACTTCAAGCACCGATTCAACGAGCTCCTTGAGGCCTCTGTGCAGCAGGGGGATATCTGGCTGAGCCAATTTAATTAGCACAGGTATGCTTGCGTTCACTTTCTGGACGCTGTTGTTGGTGGTCTGGCACAGCCCCCATGCCTCATGAGCAGTCTTGTTCACGAGTGGAATGACGTTCGAGAAACGGATGGACTTGGCTTCCAGGGCCTTGATCCTGGAACTCAGTGCCTGGAGCTGAAGTGAGATCACCTGCTCTTTCTCTGTTGAGGCAGCTTTGGTTTTTTTTAGTGAGAGACAGTTGTCTGCCAAAAACTTGGAAATTTTTGATTCTACATTCAGAAGGCGAACCTCATGGTCCTTTGAACCTTCCACAAAGTCAAATAGTTTTTCTTCCAGGCGGCTGATATCTTGTTGCTGCTTTTCCACTTTTGATGATGTACCATTTAAAATTTGGAAAACTCTACTGAAATTGTGGAGGATACTTCTGTCAGACTCCTTGTAGGGAAGATCAGCAAGAGATGGCACTACCTGTGAAGTCATTTCGTATCTCTTGTTATAAAGCAGTGACTGGAGGGATTCATTCAACTGTTGGAACTGGGGAATAAAAGCCAGGAGGCTGTCCAGTTCCTCAGCTCTGCCACAGCAAACGTCAGTCTCATTTCTTAGAGCATGTACCATGTCTTTCAGTACATAATTATCTTGAATAGAATCGACAGCACTGTTTACTACTATCATGGTCTTGTTTAATCCATCTTCTATTTCCATGAAGCATTCATTAACACGACTCTGAAACAGTTCCTGGTAAGCCTGAGATTCATTTTTAAGTCCTTCCTGAGTTTTGGAAAGTTCCTTCATTGCAGAACTCATCCCGTCAATGACAACAGTGAGATTTTCAAGTTTCTCTTTCAATTCTTTTGCTTGGATTTGTTGCTCATAGTCTGAAGTAAGACTAAAAGGTACCCCTTGTTCAATCAAGGGTTGCAGGATCTCCATATCATAGCACAAGTCATTAATTTGCTCATTCATTCTGTCCATCTTATTGCCCAATGGAAAGAACATATCGGAGAGACTCTTGTTTAGAGCACTCACACTCTCTTGGACTGCTGCCAGCTGTGCTTGGAAATCTGTCCTGCTCTCTGACAACATGTCATCACAGACCCCCAGAACAGAGTCTCTCTGAATTTCCAGCGCAAGACTGAGATTGCTGATCTTGCTATCTTGCACTCTTAAGTCATCATAGATCTCCAGCACCATCATGCCTTGTCTCTTCACTTTCTCATGCAGTGTGATCATGTACTCTGTAACATTGTACTCCATGACCTGATCTGCAGAGGGGAGGTTTTGTCTTGAAAACTGTTCAGCTGATAACAGTTGTTCATGAGCATCTCTCATTTCAGAGAGGGTCTTATTTAAAGATTCATAATAAATTACACTTCTTGACTGTTGGTGTTCCAAGTTAACTTCCAAGGACTTCTGCTTTTCTTGTAAAGCTTTCATAGGCTTCTCACAAGTGAGGGCCATTTCCTCTCTCATCTGAACCATATGACTCTTCAGCTCCAGGATGTCAAGCTCTATTGACCCACTATCTTTCTCCTGAGCAAATTTATTTTGGGTTTCATTCAGATGCTTGACTAGTTCTTTTGTATTTTCAAGGTCACCTGACATGCTAGACATAGTTTTGAAAATTTGAGCCATGCTCTCTTGCATTTCACCTTGAAATACTTGAAAGTGTTCTCCAACCACTTCTTTGATTAAGTCATTGATACTTCTGGATTTGAGACCTTTGGGGGAAAGGAGCAATATGGAAACAATCAAATCAACTGTGTTAGTAACATCTATGTTTTTCCCATAATGTGAGCAAACAGTGCTGTGCAGAGGTGAAACACACATCCCTGCACCAATTTACCCCCACAGAGAGTAAAATGTACAGCTTAAGAAAGTAGAAGATACTTACAGTTTATGTACAGCTATAGTGTTTGAGGATCCATCCTGTTTCTATTGAAAACAGTGTGACTTTTGCTAGTATTTTGAAAAGACAAACTCAAACTCTGCACGTAGTACCAGCTTTGACCTCTTGCCTAAGCTGTTTCTGAGCACTGAAAGGAGGAGATCTGTGTGCTTTTGTGGCTTGCTCATAAAAAATGATGTGTGCTTTCTCCACAAGAAAAGTAAGGCAAAAAAACTGCTTTACAAGATTATGGTCAAGAAATTAAAGCAGAGATTATTACCTTCCTACTGTACTGTATGTGCTAGGTGATGATGTAACACACTATTGTAAGAAAGAAGCAAAATTTTGAAAATAGCCTTATTTAATAGCTAAATTTAGTAACATGACAACTGCTGCAAGATGCGGTCATTTTAAAGGTAGAAACTTTAGGTCTTGCATACTACAACTCCTTAAATAACTCCTAGGAATTCTGATCCTGAAAAAGCACTAGGCAGAAGTGAATGTGTGAATTCTGCCCCAGTGAACAATGTGAAAATGTGTTTCCCATATAGCCTTAGAGAGGTCAACTCAGGCATAAAAGGGTTTGGCATAACATATTTTAAAATTAATTAGAGCAGTAGTTCTGCTCTGGTGTGAGAATAGAAGGAATTTTCTTAATTTATTCTTCAAAGCTAGCTTCTCTGTCCAACTAAAACACTGAAGAATTCTTTGCACAATTTTCATAAACCCTATGAACATTTGCAGCCAGACTGTGCTATAATGATTAAACTCTTCAGCCTTTACAATGCCTCAAAGACCACAGGTTCTCTGATTAAAACTGTACTGATAAAGGCAGAAATTATCTGTTCCCTTCTTCCATTTTATTCTCAGTTAATTCTAGTCTGGAATTTATTTCTTCATCTGTAAAACACTGAGGCATGTCTTCAAAACTTACTTGAAGGCACATTCTCAGCAAGTGCAGTAAAGCATCAGGAAATCAGACCCAAGTTTACTAGCCCAGTAAAGAGCCACACCAGAAATCTAGCAAGAAGTTTCCTAAGAATTAAACTCCATCATTGTCACCTGGGGTCCCAAATGTCCCAGCAATTTTACATAAAGTATAATAAACAGCAGTGATAATATGGAGAGTACCTTTATTAACTTCCTTTTCACTACCCAAAGAGCAAGTCAGTGTCTAGACAGATGGCTGTCACATATATGTGCACACTGAAATATCTGACAATAAAGGTGTCCTGGCAGCTGAGAGGAAAAACCAAGATATGAACCAAGTTAAAAAATTGACATGTAGAAAAACCATTCCAAGGGATGGTTTAGTCAGGTTACTTACTAATGCTGAAAAGTGTTTTGTGCTCTAAGAAACACAAAGAGCTGTGGAGAAAAATGTAATGGCTGTGGGAGGAACCAAGGTTACTCTAAACCTCCAGTGAGCAATTAATTACATTTGTTCATCTCAGCGACAAATCTTGATAACAGACCATTCATCTGTGAGAGGCATTCCAGAGGGTCTATACCAACCTTTTCTTTCTGTGACAGCCACAAAGGTGCCAGCCTCACTCTCCAGCTGGAATTGCTGGAATAGCAATTCCAGCTCCATGCAGTTGGATAGTGAGTCTAGTATAGAGCTCAGCTCTGGGTTTCAGGTGTTTCCTGACCAGGGGAATGTGGAGCCTGCTAAACCAGACAGCTTTGGGTTTCTCTCTACCCTTCTTTCTGGCTAGGACAACTGGGTAGCTCATAAGCTAAGTGCAGCAGGGGCTGTGGGAGCACACTTGTGCACGCAAAGACCTGATCCAAACTTGGTGACAATTGGGTGTATTGTTAAACTTGAGCTGCAAATACATGTGTGCACTCATGGATGTAGCTTAATTTCTCTGTTGCTCACTTTGAAATAGAAAGGTCCAAACTACCTATGAACGTTAAAGATCTCTTGCACCTTTTATGAGATTATAAATTTTAATTTTAGCTTTCTGGCTGAAAACCAAAGGGTGTAATTACTCTGTGTCAACATATACTCTCTTTGCAGTTTCAATTATTTGAAGAATAATGTGCAAAATAAATTTATGTGCACAGGAGACTGAATTGAGGTTATGTATGCATCTGCAAATGACATTTCTGACTTGGAAGTGATTAACACTCCATTACTGAGTTCATTTTGAAAGGAGTGTACATTTTTATAATTAAGAGGAAAGGTGTGTATTAAATATGGAGTTAGAGGAGGAAGAAAATAATAGCAGGAAGCAAGCAGAGCTTTTTAAATTAAAAAGAGCACAAAGTTATTTTCTCTAAGTAACAAATGGGAACAGCTTTCTGAGTAGTGAAAGCAATTTTTAAAATGCATAACAGGTTTCATTAACTAAACAGAGGAGCATATCAGTTACTCCAGTGAGTGTTGCCCTCTACATCAGCAGATGACATATTTGTGTCACTGAAGTCCTAGATTAAACCAAGAATTAAAGACTTTTAAAACTGTTTTGAATTGTTTGGTCACAGAATCAGACCTTGCTCCTAACAAACCCTGACACAAAGCTGGGCAGAACATTAGAACTTATGTGATAAGAAAAAAGGTGATAGAAAAGGTAAGGAAAGGACCTGGAAGCAGAGGAAGAAAATGGAAAAGTAGGTGAAGAAGGAAAATGCCTGAATAGCAAAAAAGCAACTACAGACTTAACTGTGCTTCAAAAGCAGGTTGCTTCAGGTTGGCAGTAGTTTTGGGAAAGTTGTGGTTTGCTTCAGGTGAGCTTCTAAGAGTAATTTTTAGCAAGGTAGAATGTCCAGTGCTACAGTGGATAGTATGGAAGATGCTATCAGGTCCTGCTACTTTAGGATACTATTTTTGCATTTAACTACAACTGACTAGCATTTCCTTGACAGAAATTGCAGTTGCCATTTGTCATTGCACATAGAAGCCAACAGACACGCTAACCTTTTCTTTCTCCCCTCTTTTCTTAATTCCTGCTTTTTTACCTATGTAGAAGCCAAGAATAACCTGTGTTGGAATGCTCATAATTAGAACCAAGGAATGTAGTTGACAGCATCTTTTTCATTGGTGCTATGTCTCCTTGATTAGGAGATAGATTGAGAAGATAAATCAAAAAGAGGGATATCAGCTGGAGATTTTTGCTGAGCAGGTATAATATAAAACATTACAGGTAAAAAAAAAAAAAAAAAAAAAGGCTTGAAGGGCATTTTCAAAGAAGGCAGGTTTTGCCAGCAGATTTTAATTAAGACTTAGACCCTGAAATAGAGATAGGGAATGGAGAAGCAGAAACACAGGATGCTGAAAAACACGTCTTAGTCTAGCATGAAAATGACAGCTAGAATGAGTGAAATAGAAAAAAAAGAATGAGGAGAAAGCAGAAAGGAAATGGAAAATACTCAAAGGCAGATTAAATGTGCACCCAAGGGTCAAGAATGCCATCTAGCAATATGTGGAGAGGTGAAAGCAGGTCACTGATCAAGAGATGGAATGAACTTGCATACAAGAGAGCCATGTAGCATGTGGCAGGAGAAGCCCAGGAGACAGAGGACTGAAAATACAAGAAATGGCACCCAACTTGGTAAATCTGAAGGAGATACAGAACCACTTATTGTTTTGTTCAGTTTCATCTCAATGTAAGGAACTCCAGAACCTCTATTCTATTTTTAAACAGTAGAAAAGTCTCTGGATTCTGAAGTGTAAAATATGGTTTGGAGAATATTCCTGAAAAATGAGAAAAATATTGCACATTGACAAAATGAAAGTTTCAGTCTGAATCTGCTCGTTAAGCAACACTTTGAGCTGGATAACACACAGCTCTTGCTGCAGGATTCACAACAAAGGGATGCATAATTCTGCTGGTGAGGAGCTGCCCAAGCTCCTGATCTCTAGCTGGGTCTTTCTCATATACTGAGCATGAGTACAGGTGTTTATCAAAGATGGCCTAATACAATCATGGACAAATCATTCAGCAGAATGTTTGCTGTATTATAAACACACCCACCACAGAATTCCTCATAGTTTGCCCTGTGTGTGTGAATTATGTATTAAAGAACATTGATTAGACTTGGTAGCAAAACAAACACTACATCCTTTAGCAGCTGCCAGATAAACAAAAACAGACATAAGAATATTTGTAGATGCGCTAAGCAAATGAAAATGCCTTGATAGTGGCTTAAGCTACCATGTAGATAATGAAACACCCAAGAATATAAATTTTTTGTCACTTTGAAAACACAATAGCAAATGTTGAAATAAACAAATTCCTCTCTTACGAAATGAAATTTTAAAAATGAGTTCTCCCAACAAGTGTTGAGTAATAGAATAGAACAGTCTATGAAGATTTTTAGCCTTTTGTTTTTCTGGCACCTCTAACAGGGTGAGTGATTACATTAATTTATTTTTCTTACCTTTTAGAAAAGACTGGAAGTCTCTGCCCTTATCTTCATTGATTTTGCCTTCCAGAGAAGAAAGCATCTTGCTCACATCATTCATCGCAGCAGCAATGCTGTCAACCTTCTTCTGTAGAAAAGTCAGTTTCATCTCCTGACTGCTAATCTTCTCATTCATTTTTTGAAAAAGTGCTTGGTCAGGAAACAAAATGAGAAAAAAAAAACAAAACAAGTATTGTTAAATATAATTTAGTGAATAAATAAAAGAAGGTATAATTGACTGAGACACATTAGCCAAAAGTGGGATGAAAATTTTCTGAATTTTTAGTTTTGAGTGAATCATCTTGATTTTTGTCATGTATCATATATTAGTGAGATTCAGCAGCACAGCAGTTACTAATTACTGAAGCATTTGTAGCCATTATAAAGTATTTATGATTCCACAAGAATATTCTGAATGGTTAGCTTATTTTAATCAACATAATGCCATTCTTCCTCTACCTAGCACCCTACAGGGTATTCAGTTAACTCTCATTTAGTCAATCTCCTTTAACACAATCACAAAAACATTGATTTTTACTTACCATTTATAACACAACTTCACAAATTTTCAAGGCTTGTGTCTGAAGGAATATATTTCTTTCCATTGTTAGGATTAAAATAAAGACTTGTTAAACATAGCAGCGAGGCAGAAAAACAGCTAATAGATAAATTACTTTGGAATAATAATTAGCCTATCATTAAAAATAGAAGCTTAACCTACAAAGTCAAGTTTGTTTTAAAACCTGCCCAAATTGCTCTTGACACTTGTAGTCTCCTCAGGAATAAAAAGGTTAGATGGATGCTTTTAAGATAGGTAATGGTGAAGGATACCCTGATGTTGAAAATTAGGACTCCACATGACTTCAGCCAGCCATCTGAGTTTGACAGGTGACAGGTATCAAACTTAGTCTGGGGTTTTCAGAAGATGCTGATAAAATTAGATGTCTGAATTCCTGAAAGCAAAGCTAGAACCTCTCCTTCAATAATTCAACCTAAATGCATAAATGTTAGGCATACGATATATTATCCAAAATGATCTGGGCTATATTATTACTTAATAAACTGCTATGGATGAGATTCTTTAGCATTGCATACAAATATTTATTTGTGTAATTTTACAGTATTCCTATTGATCCTTTGTCACTTTTCATTACAGCACCAGTGTCTATTCCTATGGCAGCAAACGGTTCTAATCAGAAATCCTGTCAAAGTACAGGGGTCCAAAGTCTCTAAAAACCCCAAGCAATTTATATACAAAAGGGAATATTCTTCTGATGACTTGTATTCTTTAAAATTCTAGTATGTAAAGATAGATACAGATGCAGATGAAGCAGGCCAGCGCCCATGAGAATGCTCTCCTGTAGAGTCATGTTGCTTGTAAAGGCCACCACAGTAAGAGTCTGGAGACTAAGGCTCTTTTAGGTGAGGATGTTAGGATCTCCAACTGTGTTCTCTGCCCAAGGTATCTACTTACACAGGTACTAAATTGTTTCTAACTCAACCAGCTCGTTTAGACTCTGGCCATTATTCTGACTGGCACTGTGAGGACAGGCCATTGATAGACCTTTGTCTTCATAATACATCTTTGTGAGAGACAAACAGGTCTGGACACTTCTGCTTCTGGTTAAATTGTTTCTATGAGAAAGGGATTTGAATTCATTAGCGGCTCACACACAGACACCCAAGCTGATAACTAACCTGTGGGGTGTAATGGTTTTTTTAGCTGGTTTTATCAGTGAGGGGGGAGGAGAATGTAGATGAACCTGAAAGTGAGGTTTTGTGCCTGAAAGTGGCATGGCTGCAAAGTGGGAGCTGGAAGCAGAATTTGGCTTGTAGAGCCATAGCAGGTGCTGATGGAATGACAGACCACAGCAGTCAGGCCTGGTCCCAGGCCATGTTTGCAGGGTTGACAGCCACAACAGGTATTTCTCTTTCTAGAGTGACCCAATTTGATTTTAAAATGACTGAAAAGCAATTAACACGGAGGTTAGAGATTCCAGTTTCAGATTTGTTTCTCAGACCATAATTCCTAATAACAGAAGTGGCATGTCTCAGTCCTCTGTTGATCAAGCTCACCTTTTCATAATAGGCCATCTGCTTTACTAAACATCCTCCTCCACCCTCCAGCCCCGAGAGACTTGGTTGGCTCACTGAGTATCACCAAGTCACAACAGTCTAACTCCCTTTCAAAAATACCCCTCTATATCTCCACACCAGATTCCATCTTTCCCTCTCCTTTTCCTCCTGTCTATTAAGATCTAAAGTAAAGCACATACATTTGTAAAGTCTCTATAAAACTCTGTGGCAATCTTAATTATGACACCCTGTTCTCTCAGCATGCATTACAGCCCACAAGAAGGTATGTAAAATTGCAAAACACAAACCTGAGAATATAACCCAACTTATTTATTTGCTTCAGGAGAATGTTTCTGGATAGAGGCCAATAGGTGAGTGACAACACCACCACGGCATGGAACAGACAATGGTTATACAAAAAAGCCAGTGTAAACAAAAATAACAGAAGCATCAATAGATTCAAAAGAAAAGGAAGGTAGTAAGGAAATTCAAGGAATATACTTCTACTAAACACTCCTTCACATCATGGCCATTTTCTGGTTCCTCACCATGAAAAATACATTTTTCAAGGAGAAAAGGGCCATGAATTGAGAGCAGGCACATGTAGCCAGTCACATGCTGCCTCCAAAAATCATGAACGTTGCAGGATTTCTCCAAGACCAAAACTGCCATCAACTAGGACTCTGGCTGCTCTTGGAGCCCCAAACCCCACCTCTGACCTGACCCTGAGACACTGGGGGAATGGGATTTTATCCCCATGGAAAATGGCCACCATTCATGTTGCAGCACGTGTAGGCAATAGTGTGGTGCCTCCTCGTAAAATGGCAAACATTGCAGGATTTCTCCCAAAAAAGCTTCCAGCAATTAGCAACCAAAACATGGAGAAGTTTTTCACAAAGCAGTCGTCTAACATAGTTTCTCAATATAGATCACTATTTGAATAAACCTTTTTTGTTACTGACCAGCTCTTACAATTCTCATTTTCCCGTTACATACTTGTGCAAGACAATACTGACGTTTTATTCCAAAAACATAATATCCAGATTATATAAAGTAAACACAATAATGAGCAAGTACATAAGGTAATAAGAAATACTCTCAAGCCTCTCTGGTATAAATGTTTAAACTCTCTCTTTCTTTCTTAGTTATTTGATCATCCTAGACATAGTAGCTTAAAACACATCTGAGCTGCCCTTGTTAAGGCTTCAAACATTTTTGTACTGATTTTGAATAAAGAACAAATTTTTGTAAGAAAATACATGGTACTAATCATGTATTCAGACAATCAATAACTTCATTACATTTTCTTCTGTGTGCAATGCTGATCTATGCTACTCCTATATTTGGACTGGGGTTTTTTGCTTTATTTTTTGGTTTAATTTCCATTTTTTCCCCCTGCTGTTAATTAGTATATTGTACTCAATAACATAATAGTTTAAATATTTCTATACCAAATACTTCCTTTGTTTTAATTTAGGCACAAAACCCGCTGAAATTTCTAACCTGCTGGTACATTTAAATTCAGTATCTTCTGCCCATCTTTATCAGAAGAGCAAACCACTGTACCATGACGTATAGAAATTGACATTGCATTTAGGCCCCTTCAGTAGGCAGAGATTTTCCTGAAATTGTTTTTGCAGTGATCTTAGTGACTGGGTAGAGGTGAGAGCAATTTTAACAACTGACCTGGCCCACTGGGGTCCTGCAGAGCTCCTGGTGTCCTCTCACTGACAGTTCTGCTGCTTTCAGCCTGGGTGCTGTGTACAACTGACTGCTGTTCTTGAGCTAGACAAGGGAGAAAAAGGAAAATAAAGAATGTGAGTGAACCACAGAACACGATAATTGGGATGATTGCACAACAATTTTTTTCTTTCTTTATTCTGTACCAAAGCCTGATCATTGCAGTGACTCTTATCTGCTTCATGTAGTGTGGGAACACATTGCTGAAGATGGTGACTGGCTTTATAAAAGACTTCCCAAGATTGGCAGGGGCTGGTGTTAATATTAAAATGTCAAAATTTGCTTTATAATGAACAGAATTTTTAAAAGGCATAGGCAAAAAATTCTAGAGGAATATTTTAGAGCTATATAAAACAGCAGTATAAAGACAACACAGAGATTATCAGCTGTAAAATTAATTAGAGACTTTTAATGGTTGCAAAAATAACCAGGTTTGTTGAAACTGATTTTTGGGTTGGGTTTTTTTGGTTTGTTTTTGTTTTTTTTACAGATTACACAGATCTTCAACCATGGAAATCTTACTATTAAAGGCAATGGTGATATTACATTTTTGCAGTACCTAAAAAATAAGAACAATTTCAAAACGTAATCAAATTCTAAGTTCCAACAAATATCATCTGACATTTATGACTGGTATAAAAATAAAAAAACTTCACAAAGGTGACAATTTTGTAAACATTTTCTCTGGTGATGGCAGATGGGTTTATCTGTTCTTATTTTACATTTCAGCCCAAAAGATCCAAAAGTAATTTGCAAATGTCTGGACTAGCGTTATTAATTCAATATCACAGCTGTAGAAACTGAGGTCTATAAAGTTGAGCACCTCCACTCACAAAAAGTAATGAACTGATCAGATAGCTGGGAACAGAACTGAGATTTCCATATTCCTGACATACATTCTCTCTCTAGCCATCAGGCTTATTGATGTTGTTTTACTTTACTTTTTTGAAAAACAAAATATGTACAAGTAAGGTAATAAATTTACTAGTGTAAATGGATACCAATTTTTATATACTTACTCAGTTTGTGGACATTTTGAAGTCAATGTTCCAGGAGGAGCATATCTAAGGAACACCACCTATGTGGCACTAATGTGATTTTCAGTCTTTAGTACAGTACAAGCAGAATAACTTGGGTATGGTGACATTATTTTGCACTTCAAATATTAAAATCTAGTTTAGCCATAATGCGAATTTCCAGGGAAACAGATTAAAATGCGGGGTCAAGAAATTCCATGCTTCACATAACTATTTTATGTTTCACATAACATTTGAAGATAAATAGACTGCAATTAGGACAATATAAGGTGTTTAAGTTGTAAATTAAGGGTGCTGTAAAAATTAGGCTAGGAACTCAGAGGAAATTATCATATGGACTAATACTTTGATAGAATCTTTTCAAATTGTCTGATGAGAAACACAAAATCCTCAAATGGTTATAATTTTAACAGCTTCCTTTATCTTTCTGTGGCATGGTTTTTGACAGAAGCTAAATCCTTGCAGTCAGCCCAACTCATTGTACAGGATTTATTAGGTGATGTTGTGGTGATACAATCTATGACAAGGGAGTCAGTTACTTGCTTGTGATAAAGACCAGCTGATCAATGTCCTTTTATTCTTTTATTTACTGGTCTTTCCATTGCTCTAAATGCATTCACTGACACTGTTGGTGCTACAGATGCCACATTTTTTTTTATATGTACTATCCACCTCATTTTTTATCCTCCCTAGTAAATCAATTGTCTCCACATTCTAGAATACCCAAACCCTCACAGTTTTATTCACTCTTAAAGTTCCAAGGATACATATATCTCCCTGTATGCTTGTTTTACTAATGCTTTAAAATTGTTTGGGTAACAGAGCAGCTGTGAGACCAAGAACACAGCATCTCTGTCAGAGCAAGACAGCCATGGAGCAAGCCCAAAGTGCACTACACAGCCTCTGACAGCAGCAAGGGCTGGAGCCAGCGATGCACACACACACCAACCTCACCCACAGACAGTCACAAATTGTGTACTTATCTCATTTCACCACGCTACAGGAAAGGTACCTGGCAAGCAGCATTAGAAATTCAGGCTTTTCATTTGTGAAACAAATTCAGAGGAGTCACTAGCAATATAGCTTCTCCTGCATCATTCTTCCAGCAGGGCTCAGGTCTTTTCCAAAGGAATCACTCCAAGACATCATATGGTGATTACATTTATGTGCCCCTTATTCCCACAGCTGAGATTTCCCATTGTAGAAGCTGGATAACAGCAGGTGTGATGGGAGCACCAGACCAAAAACCCAACACACATACTGTTTAGGGTAGAAATAGCCATCAAATTACTTACATTTCAGACCTTTTAAAATTAGATATGCCATGCTCAGTTTAAACAAAAAAAATAAAAAATTCAAATGAGACAGCTAGACCCACCTTAGAGGAGGCACTTGCAATAACAAAGCACCACAAACAAAACAAAGCAGCAATATGAAATCCTGAGCAATAAGTCCTTCCAGTTGTATCAGAAAAACAAGTCATGCATACAGAAATTTAACATTAAGTGTCTATCATCCAATATATTGGCCTAGATGTATAATTTATTGTCCCATGTATTTTTAAACACAGCACTTTAAATAATTTCACAGAATATTTAAAAAAAAGAAAAAAGATTGCGTCTTTTTGACTCAATAGATCTTTGATGAAGCGGGAGTGGCTGAAGGGGTTTCCCAGAGGGGGGGTTAGGTAGTTTCCTCCTGTTCCCTGTTTCAAGGCGAATTCCCACCTTTTTTGCGTGCCGCTCACCGCACGCAGAGGATGGGACACTGCACGGCCATCTGCTGGAGAAATGGCATCACTGCCACTCCAAGGAATTCCCTGCTGACAGTGGCTGTGGCAGAGCCGGCTGCTGCCTCTAAACCATTTAATTCGGTGTTCCGAATGCGCATGGGGGAACCGGGATTTAATTATTATACACACAAAGTTAAAATAAAGCTGTGTTTAGTAAAAGCGACGTCATGAAGTCTGCAACTCCAACTTGAAGTGTCCTTTTGTTTTAGAGGTTTTGCTCTCAGTTAAGCACTTGATATTCCCAGGTCAAAATAATGATGCTTTAACTGTTCAATCATCCATGTTGACTTGTCAGACTTATAAAAATGATGCCTCCGTTTTTTCATCATTATAAATTTTCTTTGAAAATTGCATTGTCCATGCTGCAATAGGATCCATGTCTTAGCCAATTTGGTCATGTGTTGTCACAAGGGAGGCAAGGTTAGAAACAGTGATCTGAACACATCACTTCCATCTCTCTCACTACCACACTACCTTGAGAAGCATCTGTAGCCAAGCAGCTACAAGGGGGCCACAAATAAGACTTTCGGATGTCTGGTAATAGCTATCAGGTGGTGCTAAGTGGTTTCTTCTGCCTAGACTATCAGACTGAAACAGTCACATATGACTCCACTCTGAGAGAGTAGTTAAACCAGAAGGCATTTTAAATCAGCATTTGCTGCAAGCAACCCACATCACACTAACAGCTCCTTTCCATGATCCAAAGGATTGTCAGAACACTTGTGCAGTTCCCTTGGCACAGAAACCCTTCAGAAACAATTCTGCTGCTGAACAACAGAGAGGCCAAGTGGGAGGCTCAGTGACTCGGGAGAGCCCTACTCAGCACTTTCAGTGCCTCTCCCCTGCTGTCTTGGAGCACAGGAAGACAAGGCTATTGGGCTCCCAGCTGTTCAAGTTCATTAGCCCACGTCCCTTCATGGGAATTGAATAATACAGGCAGGCTTGTGCTGGTGGTCTGCTCCTCATGGGAGGCACGATTCCAGAAGCAAGGAAGAAAAGCTTCTCTGACATAACACCTTTCATCCCAATCTCTTTAAGCACTTCTACAAGCATTAATTAATTAAATATCCCAGTGCCCCTGTGAGATAAGTGTCATCTCAATTTTCTAGATGGGTAAACTTGGTTATGCAGATTATAAGAGGCTTCCCCAAGTTATTCAGGAAGCAAGAAGAGGTTTGAAAATAGAACCCAGGAGATGTAACACCAGCTCCTGCAACACTTCACAGCACTTCCCTTTATTCTTACTTTTTACACAGATGCCACTACAAATTGAGTTATACAGATTTTCTTCCTGGTCAGTGTTTGCCTGTTGTTTTGATGCCATTTCAATTTTATCAACTGTGACGTCCCCCTTGAATGCTACCCTTTACATTTTTTTTAATCTATTTTTATTGTTTGCTCTTTTCTGAAGGAAAATATTTAAAACACTTGATCCATGCTCACTGGACAACCTTGCTGATGAACTGTGCTCTATCTGTTAATGCCTGACTCCACAGTGCAGTGCAGAGAATTTTGTGCCTGCCAAGGTTCTGGCTTTTTGGCACTGAAATTTCCCTCCTGGATGTGAACAATAGTGATTTTTCTTCATTCCTCTACATTAATTTTTAATCACAGCCCTTTACTCTACCGCTGCTGATTGAATTCCCTATCATATCTAATAGCCTTTCTTGCAATATTCATTAATTTAAAACCTGTATGCTGATGCCATATCTAATATTTCAAGGACTGCTTGCTTAAGGCCAGCAGCAAAGAAAGAGCTTTTATACAGAAGTGAAATTACAATATGATGCCCCATATTTGATCACCAGGACAGAGGTGAAAGGCTATTCTGTCAAAAAGGACACAATTATACAGGGATCATGTGTAATACCTAGAAAAATTCAGTCACTGTTGAAATGAGCAGCAGAAGAAACTACAAAATTGAGGGAAGTAAAAAAAAGTTGATACATTATTTTCTCACAAGCAAAATATATTCTTAGAGCCTGAAACCAAAAGGCAAAAGAGTCACACTGCGGTAGAGGAATATTATGGCAAGTATTCAATAGAGGACTTGGATTTAATTCCCCCAGCACTGCAATTCTCAATAACTAAAAGGTCAAAAGTAGAGACTCACTGAATGCAAACTCCATATTTTAGCAAAATGAAATATGGCTGGAGATTTTATGAGCTTTATTTAGAGTGGAAGAGGGGAAAAGACATTCTGCTTAGATCCTGTGGAGAATCACGTGCAAGGAAGAGTCAATATCCCAAAGCATTTTTTCTTACTGGTTTTGAATTTAACACAAAGCACTGTATTTGTTTTCAACAGAGCCATTTGCTCACAGATCACATTTGTATCGTTTTCTTTTGCTGAAGTGAATAGTTCAGACCCTTACAACTCCACTCACCTTTGGGTTGGCAGTTTTGCCCACTGTATCCAGGACAGCACTTCCACTCCAGTGATGTCACTATTTTATGTTTGATTCTGTAAGCCTGGTGTGTTGTTGTCTGGGACCTGTGAAATGAGAACAATTTAAATCTGTTTTAGGTAACCAAAGAGGAGCTGTAAGATACCTGCATAACTTCATTATATTATCTCACTTGTCATATTCTTTTATTACTGCTTGAAATTCAAAGTGAATTCTAACCAGGGTTTGGTGTTTCATTAGTAATCACAGCTTTAATACTGCAACCTCCAGATTATCTGCATGAATTTTAAAGAAACTGATGTCTATTTAGATTTCTTCTCAGAATATCTTACTCAGGATTCAAATACTGCAATCTTTTATGGAAGACATTACAATTAATAGCTACTAAACTGAAAAAAGGGAGCCAAAAATATGATTTTCATGTACCACTTTTCTTTGAAATCGGTGGAAAAATGCATTCACAATAAATTTACACCACATCAGCACATATTTAGTGCACACTGAAAACCCTCCCTTCTGATTATTTTAAACAAGATTATACAAATATTAATCCAATAAAGTGTGAAAAATTCCACTCTGGATTTCAGGGAAAGGAGGGTCTATGTAATTGTGAAGCCTCAGTTATTACTTTTACAGCATGCAACTGCAGACAAAGCAGCAATTTTATTTCTGTGTTCCAACAGATTGTGCATGTCCTGGCTACCCCATCACTTCTCCTAGGTTTCTTAACTTCACAGAGAAATCAGTAGGCATACAGAATTAACTACAACTCTCCTTGCCCTTTTAAGATGTTAAATACAAAGTTCAAATAAAAATAATGTCACATGCTGTTACTAGTTATAAGCACTAACATGAAGAACACCTAAAATCTCAAAAAATGTGATGATAAAACAGTTACTGAATTGTTTTCCACACACAATCCCTGTATAAATCATTCCAGAACGAGACAAATTTAAAGGCTGTCAGAGTAACAAATAACCTCCCAATGCAGTAAAAAATTCCACTGTATTTTATACTCCAGTTAAGGTTGTCACCCCTTCCCAAGGGATGTAATATTTTATATATCAAAATTCTCACAACAGCTGGCAGAAGCTTTGCATGTGTCCCCAGCCAGCTTTGGCTTTAAGAAATGAGTATTTCAGTGGCAAGAACCAATAAAGATTAAGGTGATCTGAATTCAAGAGAGTTCCTGGTTATTTTGCTGTATGGATGGTCTTATGATAAAAATCACTTTATTCTGTATTAGCATAATCCATTCCTAAAAGCACTCGTAAAAATGAAGTGTCCATGCAAGGAATTAATCAGGAATAGCAATTTCAAAAATAACCCACGTAAAAAAAGTCCACATAAACGAGTCTCAGAAATTTATGTAGTAGAGCCTTATTTATGGGAGCAGCCCAAGGACTTAAAGCAAATGAAATACAAAAAAACCCTAAATGTAAATAACAAAATTGGCAACATTTCAACGACAGGGTCCACTCCACACTTTTGCCATGCAGTCAACTGCATTTCAGAGTCACCAAATGCAAAGGAAGCTCTATTCCCAGTTTCAGCTCAAAGCTTTAAGTGTGTTCTGCCATACCATCTAGAGGACAATTCTCAGAACAGCCAAACTGACTTTTAAGAGGCTTTTAAAATTTGTCAAGGGAAAAGTACATTACAATCTCCATTTTGCTGGTGCTGTTTCCTTTTGCCATTTTCCAAATTCATGCATGAAAATCCAATTTCACTTTAAGACTGAAATCTAACATTTAGAGAACACAGTGAGGCACCCAAACCGCAAAGGACAACCTGAATTCTTAACAGAGGTATTATTTACAAGTTCCATCCAGGCTAATTACTTGTCTAGGTTCACTGCCTGACCAAAGCTCTGCCAGAAATAAGCACTAAGCAGAGAGATAATAAAAATATTTATGCCTCTCAGGGGAAGCCTTTTGCACAACAGAGCACAAGCTTGGAAAACTGCACAGAAAGGATTTTCTTCCCTGCATGTGCTTTAAAGCTTTGTACTTGTGCACCTCTCTTTGACTCAAAGACTTTGAACTGACTGGAGGGTGCCAGAGTGAGGGCATGCTCCCTCTTGTTTCTCTTTTAATTTTTCAAGTTATAGTCATATTTATGGTGTATTTGGTTGCAATTAAAGTGCTTGCAAATAGTATTTCTCCCCAGTTCTCCATACCTCTGAGCACAGGATCCAATTTGCCAAGTGCAAGGCTTTGCTCTGCCTGATGAGAAGGTTTCTAGGTTATCCACCACAACCGTAGGAATGAGTCTGGTATGGACGTAAGCACACCAGTTTCTGTAAAATAGAGAAGGTAAAATGATTAAAAGTACAAATAACATTTTCCACCATAGGATATATGATACTTAATTGTGAAAGTTAAACCCACAATTTACAAATTGGAGTAGGTTACAAAAATTAAGTTTGTTTCATTCAAACTACCAATGTTTTCTTGGACAATTACTTTGTGCTTCAGCAAGGAAAACAAATAATCATATCTCCATCTCTACATACATTCATATTTCAAATCTGTATTTTAATTTGAAAACATCTGTGAACCTCCAAGAGCGAAGAAGCTCTCCTAGACTGCAGTAATGACAGGTCTTAAAATACACCTACTTTTCAGACTACAGAAACTGTTTATCCAGAATTCAAAGGATTTTTCAGTGAGGTTTTTAATCATCCACAGCTTTCACTTTATGGACAGGTTTTCTAGTGTTTCTCCCTCGGCCCAGCAATACCATGAGTCCAGATAGGCTTTGTTTTTCAGTGCGCTGTGAGGTCAAAGCCACACACAGCAAACACATGCCATGGTTCCACGCTTCCTTGTGCCTCTGGATGTCCATCCAGAGAAAACAATCACTTACAAAACGATCAAACTCTAGATCACTGCAGCACAGGGGGCCAAAGCTGGTGAGTGCAAGAGGTGGTTTGCTGGGTTTTGGGGTTTTTTTTAAGATTCTAAGGAGGCTGCGAGCAAATACAAACTGTTAAATCAGATTTTGAAATTTGGCTACAGTAAAAGCTACAGAAGAGAAGAGAATTAAGTCAAAATTATAATGTGAATAATAGCTCTGGACAGATTTGTACAGGGAAATTATGCCACAGAGATATAGTGGTATTCCTTGAATCAGAAGCAGGTAGATAAATGCGTGATTTTTAGAGGCTTTTGGCAAGGTCACTCACCAAAAAATATTGGGGGGTGGGGAGGAAGCAATCTATTACATAGTACAAAGACAGATCCTGTTATAAATAAATAAGGCATTAAATCAGAGAGATGAAAGACCAGTTTGCTTCTTCAAGAAACAGTTTATCAATGCAATCCCACATTAACCTATAACAGGCACTATATTAATTAACTAGGAGGGACGTAAGTAAATAGGGGGATGGCAGGGTTATACAGAGTTTTACAAAATCATTTTGTGCAGTAAAAAACCATCACCTTGAAGAACTGCAGTAGTCCAATGACACTGAATTTCCAACTAAGTAGGCATCAGGAAAGGGTCTTGTAATGCAGAATCAGTCACAAAGACAGGTTTATATAGATAATATCACTACCTAACTTTTATCAGAGGAAAAAATAATCTTGGAGTCATTGTTAATGGCTGTCTGAATTGACCAATTTATTGGTTTGCCTTAACTAAGCTAGGTAATCAAATACTTGAGATTATTAGGGAAGGACTAAAGAACTAACAGGAATCACCACTGTTCCAGTACATCAGCTCTCTGTTGCTGTGTATGAGTTTATGGCCACTTTGAACAGAGAACACAGATTTGGTCTCACACCCTAAAGAGAAGTGGAAAAAAAAAGACAGATAGAAGAGCAGGAGGTATATGAAGTCGTGGCATTAATTATTCAGTTAGTCTTGTTATGATAAATGGAAATGAAAACAAGAAAAAGACAAAAATGAAGGGTCAGGCAGCATTTCCATAGCCATAGACTGTGCTGAATTTAGAGGGTAAAAGGGGTCTTAAAAAGCAGTAAAACTATTTCATAAAACTTCTTTATTGAAAAAAATGCCATTAGGGTATTATTAATTTGGTTTTTTAACAATCATTAAGTTGCAACATTAATCTTTGTCTCAGGAACCCTCCCAGATGGAGTCTGGAATGCATCTTGAATAAAGCATTATTGTGCTTCTGCTGGTGGAACAAATGCCTATTTGGCCTAGTACTGAATTTTTTCTTTCATCTTTAACTTAGTGCAGCCTTTCACAGGATCATGTTATTCCCTTGTCCATGCTGAAAAATATTTCATTTTTGACTTATCAAGTTAGTGACTAGACATTGTTGGACTAGACACAGTTGTAGGACTGGTGGAGCTGCAAGAACCTCCAAACAATATTTGCATATGAGAACTTAAAGTTCATCTGTGTTGTGTTTTGCTGCTAAAATTTTCTTCCGGTTGTAGTAGTTCTTCTCATGTTTCATTAATATATATTTACATTTTTACTCCAGATATCATACTGTGGGCTCCTTAGAGTGGAAATCAAAATACAATTAATACCAGATTAATTCCATTTACTTAAGTGGCATTAGTACAGATTTACTGTGTTTCAAACATGAAAAACAGCACATACAAAAAAAAATACAAAATAGTATCAGCATCTATCCTTAAGTGATTGCTTTTGTCTACAGAGATCCTACCAGTGTATGCACATTAAGATCAGTAGTGCTGTAGTTGGAAAATGATTCCTGAGAAAAAAGCAGGATAAGCCAGAAAGATACTAAAACTAACAGATTTAATCTCACAATAGCTCTACTGCCAATATTGCAGCACACCCTTTCACAACACACATTGTTTATTTGAGAAATAATGTGCCTCATATTAAATGGCCTTTTGTTGAGTGCCTTTGATCTGATTTTGCTCACTCACTCTCCACTTGCTTGAGAGTTTTCATTAAGATAGTGTTTCTTCTTAATTAGGTATAAAAAGGCTGTGCTTTTTTTGATGTTTCCTTTAGGTTCTCACTCCTTCAATTCCTGCCTTTTATCTCTGTTTATTAATTAAAGAATCCATAAATATTTACTAAAAGTGAAATGCAACTATCAAGCACAAGCATAAAGATTAGGTGTTCTGCTCACTTTCTCTGGGGAAGTCAGAAGCAGCTATATTTGAGAGACATAAAATTGGCAAAAAAAAGAGGAAATTTTAGTCTTTCAAATTTTGCAAAGGAATAAAGAAGTTACTTACCCACACCCCCTGGGTAGGGCATGTGAGTCCTTCACAGTCTCCTTTATCACAGAGATTGGCAGTAGTAATAATGAAGTAATAATGATATTTGAGTTAAACACCAGCAGCAGAGGAGACTTAGTGCCCTTGGAAGCACTGCCAGGAAAAGAGCCCTTCCAGGGGGCTTCCTCACTGAGCATCAGGGAGCACCAGAGTGGGGCTTCTTCCTAAGGGAAAGGTCAACCACACCAGCCAGGCACAGACCTCCCCAGCAGCAGAGCTACCAGAGCACCAGGAACCTGCAGGCGGCAGTGGAATGGCAGGAACAGGTCAAGGAGCATGGCCCAGCTAAGGAGCCATGTCCATCAGTCCAGAGACTGATGGAGACAAGCACCCTCACAAGGAAAATAACACACCCTCCAGCCTGGGTTTAAGTGGAGTCCTGGCACAGGGGCGTGGGTGGAAGGTACAGGTAAGGTTGCTTAGGACCATCAAGGCTTGTTATCCTGCAGGCAGATCTCTTCCCTTTCACAGCTGTGGTGAGGGTTCTGCAAATTCATACCCAAGATTAAAAACTGTATTTTTTTTTTCTCTGAAGTGCAGCACAGAGATTAAAAAAAACTCCAACCAAACAAACAAAAAAACCCTCTCAGCATATGAATGGGATACTAAATATTCCTTAACAAATGCAGGAAGTGATTCTGGGCCAGACTGACACTGATCTATTCAGGAGGAGCTCTGACTAAGCATGGGGATTTGCTTATGATTTAAACTAAGTATAGAGAATGTAAATATTCAAATTCCTAAATAAATCTTACCAATTAACTGATGGCATACAAAGTCTGCGCAGAGAACCTCTGAAGCAATAATGCCATCTCTAGCTGTTATGCAGTATCACATGTGCATTCCTGTTCCACGTTAGATCTCTAGGAAGTGAGGAGCTAAAACCTTAGGCAGCTGGGTGCTAAGCATCCCTCCTCTGAAAATAAAGAAGCCAAATATAGGGGTCAAATTATAAAATCTGGGCTACAGTGAGGCAGGGGTGAGGTGAGGGACTTGGGCCTGTGGCTCCCTAGCCTGCACTTTAACCTTGCATGCAGATCTGACAGCTCACCAGAGAAAGGGATGAGCAGAAGCTGTACAGCAATATTGTCCTTGACAGCCACTTCTGCAGTGCACGTGTTTGGGGTATACATCATAGTAACTGAGAGCCATTTTACACCTGAGCAAATGGGGTCAAAAGATAAAAGAATGAAAATAGGCATTTAAAAAATTGTAAAAGACATGAAAGCACTGGAATATAGTTTTCAGTTAAAAAAAAATGAACAACCCTACCTCCCCCCCCAACCTTTAAAAATTCACATTATTATTATTGCTATTATTATTATGATTATTATTACTATTACTAAGGGTGTCTAGATTTGAGGAACAGCTATTGGGACTTGCCCATTTGGAGATGCCTTCCAAAGGAAAATATGTTACAGTACACCCCAAATATTAAGGGCTATTCTTATTTTTTAAAGGCAGTCTGAACTCAGCCTCTGGTCTCTACCAAAGATGTAACTAACTTGAGCAGATTGTTTCCATTTAAAATATTTAACTCATTCTTAATGTATGTCAGTGCAATGTCTGAAGCTGTAGTTCTCACATGGCCCAGCAATCTTTGATCAGGCTAAACTGGAGGAAATATTCACAGCAAAAGAGCCCCTGGTGTGACTCATAATTAAGTTTACGCTACCAATGAAATAAGCTCATTAAGAGACGTTAAGAATGTAAATATAATTTTGAAATCAAATTGTCTGAAAAAATGTAGATTTGGAAATAGAAGATGAAGCGTGGCGGAAGAACTATGACAGGCTGTGTTAATGCAAAGGCAGAACAGAAGACAACTGATTTGCATAACAGGACTTTAAACCTGAAAATCCTCTTTACCCTCCCTGGAATAATTTATTCCAGATCATCAACACAGGCTTCTAACATGCAGATTTTGTTGAGAGCTGGAGCAGCCTAGCGTCTCTTTTGCATTGAGCCTGATTTCAATCAGGAAAGCTGTATTTAAAAACAAAACAAAACCCCCACAACATACAACAGAAATCCAGCCCAGAAAGAGCGGTACAAGTCCCCA